TAATCATTAACTGTTCCTTTCTGTAGAGCAATAGAAGACAGTAGTACAACTATATTATCTTTTCAAGTTTTTTGTTTTGCTTTTTAACATACTTGGTTTAAATTAATTTTGTAGTATAGGCAATATATGTGGAGCTATAATATGCACATATACATATTCCAGTTATTATATTAATAGGAAGAGCTACTAAAAAAACATCAAGAGCTAGGTTAAACCAGATCTGTGGAGAAATAGTTCCTAGGTGTCTGAATATACCATCCCTCCAGGAAGATTTAAAATCCCAGGAATACAGTATTCAAGTCCATAAAGTGACATACTGATAAACAAGAAACATAATTCTAGGTATTAAACTCATTATGGCATGCTAAAATTGGTGTTAAAGTAACATATCATTTTTATTTGTAGAATTCCCCAGTATTTAGAATAATTGATAGTACTTTCTATCCAAATCATCAGTAACCCTTTCCTGCACTAAGAATGACATAGGTGAAAACAGCTCCTTGGTTTTTGGAGTTTTTTGGCTTCTTTCACCTGCTACTCATTTCTGCATTCTCACAAGTATTCTACTGTTGTATAAACCGGAACAAAAATTGCAGAGTTGTGACACACGCCTGTAATCCCAGCCATTGGGAGGCTGAGACAGGAGGATCTCTGTGAGTTTGAGGCCAGCCTGGACTACACACCTGTCTCACCTCCTCTCAAAAAACAGTGAAAATGTTTCAGGACTTGTAGTCACTTCCTCACATGTGGTGACTGAGTCTAGTACTGTTGATTGGGCTGCCTATGCAAATCACAATCTTTAACTCGTGTCTTCTGACATATAAACCTGTATTGGGAATGTTCTTTTCCCAAAATATGTTACTGTTAAGGTTATTTATTCTATTAACATATTCAGATTATATGCTTTGAAAAAGAACCTGTAAATGGATGATCCTTGGTAATAGGCTTTACTTGTATTTTAAAAGGTTTACAATTTTTTGTGAGATAAATTATGTCATTGTTAGTTATTTTTATTTTAACAGTATTGGGGACATCATAGATCACTATCGAAAAGAACAGATTGTTGAAGGGTATTATCTTAAGGAACCTGTACCAATGCAGGTCAGTGTCATTTCTCTTTTTTGCAATAACCAGAATTTTGTTTTAAAGTTCATTTACGTAATATGTTTAGAGATACTCATGCAATTAAAACTGAATTTTAGGTAAAATTCAAAACTGTGGGTTACTTAGATTCTTTCAGGAAAGCAATTTTAAGAGACTTTCTGAGTGTTTTATCCGTGCTGGTTCTTGAGAGTAGCCGCAGGGGTGGGGTACTGACCAGGTCTGGGAGCGAGCTGCTGGCGGCAGAAGTGGCGACGGTGTGGGTAAACAGCAGTCAGGCTCATCCGGAAGAGCTGCTGCGCGCGCGGGAGAAGGGGGACTGACCGAACAGGGCTGGGACCAAGAGGGTTGTGAATTTCTTTCATTATTTGCCTGTAGTTGTATGGCGAGAGGATTTGAGCGTGTCTTTGTGTGCGAGTGAAAGCCATGGTGAGGAGAGAAGCGGTGTGGATGGGTGGTGGCGGGACCTGAGGTACAGGTCTTAGAGAAGGTGGGAGTGAGTGCCGTCCCAAACAGCGGGAGCGAGTGGGCTTTAAAATACTGGCTGCTGAGTGCGCGGGGCGATGAGTGCATTACTTCTGACATGTGATGGGGTGGGGAAATGTTCTTCAAAGGAGGGATTAAAGAGTTTCCTATGTGGAAGCGGAGGTGTTAACATGCCAGGGAAATCAGAGGGAGAAGGACTTTGGGCACAGAGCTGGTATTGTCCAGCGATTTATAACGTCTGGAGTTTTTCCACTTTTTCTCCTGCTAATAAGCTAGCAGATTTCAGATGATTTTAATCTGTGATTTATTGTTGTAGTTCCTGTGTGAGAAATGGTTATTCTGAAGCTAAATACAAATCCAACAATCATAATCTTGTCACATTTTAATGTACCTTCCTCGTTTCCTCACACTTTGCTGTAAGGTCTGTGATGGTGGGGATTCAATCCCCATTGAATTGTTTCCCCCATGCCACCAGCATCCTTGGAGACATTACTCAGTGAATACCAACTGAGGGGTGACTGCCCGTTCTCCAGCAGAAAGCACTCATCCCGCCACACTGTCATGAGGGGTTCACATTTCTGTGTCCTCTTCCTCTGGCCATGTCGGTCTGTCCCTAAGCACTGCTAAGTGAAGTCAGTCTGAAGTTTGACTCCCCCTCCTGGGGAACTGAGATTGAAGTCTTTACTCACTGGGCCAGCGCTCTGCCCAGGAATGTGCCTGCTAGAAATGAGCAGTGTTTTAGTAGGGGTCACAGACCCTGCCCGCAGTTCCACTGTTAGGTCCTTCATTCTCATCCACTTCTATTGGCCGACTTAGTGAGTTTTGATTTGTTTTTAAATCCATGTTTTATTTGTCCACAAACAATTTTTTCATCCTGAATTTGTTTTATGCTTTTCAAATACAGGTTTTTATAATTAGAAAATTAAGTAGTATGTAACGTCTAGCAAACATTTATTTATTTATTCATTCTTTTTTTTTTTGTTTTTTGGTATTAGGAATCGAACTTAGGGCCTTGTGCTTGCCAGGCAGGTGCTGCACCACTGAGCTACTTGCCTGACCCTAGCAAACTTTATACATTAAGTTACTACGCTGCTTTAAGAATTACTTGATATATTGCCAGGCATGGTGGCTCACTCTTGTAGTCCCAGCTACCTTGAGTGGCTCAAATAGGAGGATCACTTGAGCTCATTATTTCAAGACTGAGCTGGACAGCATGATCAGTCTGATCCCCTGTGTCAAAAAAAGACTTCAAACATTCACAGTGCCTCACTCTTCTTGGTTATTGTTTCATAACTGAACAGACCTTATGAAGAGCCTCAGAAATAATGCTTATTAGAAAGGAATTTGATTGGAACACGAGAGCTACTCAGTGTCATTTGTGGTCTATTGTATTGCTTCTCAGTGAAAGCAGATCACAGCAGAAGTTCGGGGAATCAGAACACCAAGTGTCCTTTCAGCAGGATTCTATTAGAGAACATAAGGCTGCTAACATCATTTTACTAATGAACAAAACAGTAAACTTCCATACTCAGTTCATCCACCCTACTGTGGCCCTGTGTAGCCAGACTCCAGTTAAGATGCTGGGGCAGAAAAGCCAGAGTCTTAGAAGGAACATTTCTTGAGATAGGAACAAGAGGAAAAACAACCTTTTGAGACAGCACACTCCAATAAATACACCTAATATTCCGAGTACTGTATCTTAGGCACTGTTTTGTATACAGAGAGGTTAAGGCATTAAGTTATCTTCGACTTCCCTTCACCTCCCCCTTTTCTTCCTTTCCCTTTCTTTCTTCTTTCTTATGCTTTATATCCACCCTGTTGATAATTCTTGCTAATTCTGCCATGAGAATATATCTAGAATATAACCACCACCCAAAACTGATTGCATCCCACTGTGTCTACCTTTGTCTTAACAGCGTCCTGCAGTCAGAGGGATCCATTTTAAATGAGTTGGATGTTGTGCATTTCATTTAAAGTTAAGATCAGAATCCTTACAGAGATGCACAAGACCATACAGTAGTGCATGATTAGTCTCTAAGCCTGTCTCTACTCTCCTTACCTGTATTCTTGGGATGTGATAAGGAAACGTTTCTGAGATTTTCTTTGGGAAGCAAAAGCTCTCTTAATTTATCTGTTATATACATTTAGATTTGTGTGTTTTTGCTTCATTTTCATCATTCCTGAAATTTTATATTTCAAAAAAATTTAGGATCAAGAACAAGTCCTCAATGATACAGTGGATGGCAAGGAAATCTACAATACAATTCGTCGTAAAACAAAGGATGCCTTTTATAAAAATATTGTTAAGAAAGGCTATCTTCTAAAGAAGGGTAAGAGAAATTTTAAGATTAAGGGCTTTATTATTTTCCTGTTAACCCATTTGATAGAGGCATTGTAACTGTCAAGAAGAAAACTTACCACTAATGTATTTAATGAATTTCTGGTAATTTACACTTGTTTATAGTTTCTAAGCCTCCTTCAGAATTTAGAGTTGTTACATTAAGTCCACATTTCCACCAAGGATTTAGAAAACAAGTTTATACACTGCCAAGGCCCCCTTCTCCCCAGGACAGGAAAAGGCATTTGACTCTTTGCATCCTCTCCCCATGTTTCTTTTTAAAAACTTTTTAAGAAACTTGGTGGCACTTGAGTTGATGGTATTGATACCTGATGGTATTGGTGCTTTTATTTGACATATTTACCTCAGTCTGACAGTAAGATATGTTAAGGGAATGGGGGAAGACCTTAGTGGCGTTTGTGGATTTTTTTCCTTAAAACTGGAAAAGAATTACTCCAAGAATTTTGACATTTCATCGTAATGGAATATCTGAAGAAAATTATCTTCTTATTTACTCTGTGATTCATTAAAACAGGTAATATTGCAAAAGGCATTTTTTTTCTATAGGAGTCACTGGCATTTTCTTATTATAAAGATAAATTTCATAATAAAAGTTATGATATGTCTAATTTTTATTTTTAGCAATTCTTTTCATTCTAATATGTATATATATGAGTTCAGAGTTCATTGTTTGGCTAAGAAAAAATAATTTTTATTTTTTAACAGGCAAAGGAAAACGGTGGAAGAATTTGTATTTTATCTTAGAGGGCAGTGATGCCCAACTTATTTATTTTGAAAGTGAAAAACGGGCTACAAAACCAAAAGGATTAATAGATCTCAGTGTATGTTCTGTCTATGTTGTTCACGATAGTCTTTTTGGAAGGTAAGAAGCTGGTTTTCTGTTTTTCTTTTAGAATTTTTAAATAGTAAAATAGAGGGTGTATTCAGATTATTTTAAAGCACAACACAATCAATTTTTATAGCATGGAATCTAAAAATGTCAGCATAATTTTTGTTTTCCTTGCTTTAGGCTAACCTATGTATGCAATTCCACTCCACTGTATTAAATAGAAATCTTTGGAATGACACTTCTTGTAGCAGGACTTCATCTTGGTCTGTATATAGCATGCGTTCTCTTTGTCACCACTGATAGTACTTTGAGTGACTGAATTCACCCTTTTCCTGATTTTTTCACCCTGCCTGTTAAATACATGCATCGATAGTATGAGATACACTCAGTTCAGCTGTGAACTTTGTAGATAGGTTCCTAAGGAACTCAACATTACAAGGCAATTCTAATACAAAAATTGTTTCAGTAGAAAATATTTTTCTTACACGGATGTTAATTAAGGTTTTAAAAAATAAATTTATAAGGCAAATCTTAAGCATTATGAGATAATTCCAGCTTTTAATTATACCTGGATATTGTTTAAAAACAGTGGCCTTTTTTTTTTTTTTTCCTTGTTTTTTGTTATTTTTGGTTTTTTTCTGGTACCGGGAACCGAACTCATGACCTTGTGCTTGCCATACAGGCGCTGTGCCGCTGAGCTAAATCCCCAGCCCCCCAAAACAGTGGCCTTTAACATTAGAATTATCAGTTGTCTAGAGTCTTCTCAGAAGTACTCAGCAATTGTATTACCTGTTGGTGTGTTTATAAATTCATTTGACCGTGATACCTCCTCCCCTTTTTCTGAATTCTCCCTGATATTCCATAATAAACACAAAAAGTTTGGGTAAGATAGAATTTAAGATTTTTTTTCCCTATCGTAACAATAGGAGTGACTCGGATGGAGCATGGTGGCAGTTATTACATCCTCCCAAAACTGTTACCCTGAACAACTGTTCATTGACCCAAGTACCTTCACAAGAGCTGAATGAGAGACCACTTGACCTGGTTTCAGCCTGAGAAGGGAAGATACTTTGAAGGATGCAGAAAGGGTTGCTTTTGTCACTCCTCTCTCAAATGCAAAAAGGGGCAGTTTGGAAAGAATGGCCTCCTGTGTGAGGGAGGGAGGAGGAGTTCAGTGTAGGAGTTACTTGAAACCCAGTACCAGGTGTATCACAGTGAAATTCAGTACCTAGAAGATCCTCATTGGCCCCTGCTCCTAGGCCACTGCCTGCAGATGGAGAGCTGGAACCTCAGCATGACGGACTCACATTTCTGCCTGATTCCTCACCAGCTACGGTCTGGCCCTGGGGTCCATACCCAGGATAGCAGTAGTCGGTGAGGCTGTCTAGGTGCCCCCAGGCTCAGCAGCAGCCTTTAGTGATGGAGGAATGCCTCCACCATCCCCACCTCAACACTGGGGAGCACAGCTTAGAGAAAGACTTCAACTGCTGGCAGTTTGTTTCGGTTACTTTCCTGGTCTTGAGGACAAAATACCCAATACCTGCAACTAAAAGGAAGAGAAGTTTATTTTGGCACAGATTTGAGAGGTCTCCTTCTTTGCTTGGTATGGTGTCTGCAGCACACGTGTTAGGGCAAAGCTGCCCATGGCACGGTAGACAAGAAGCAGAGAGAGTGAAGGAAGGAGCGGTGAAGGGAAATACAGGCCTTTCTAGTCCTCGGCCCAGTGACCCACCCCTTCACCCAGGTGCCACCTCCATTATCACATGGAGTTATAGACTCATCATTAGACTAATCCACTGATGACTGTCACAAGCGCACGATCTAGCCACTTCCCTAAAACCCCATTTATGAGCACATGAGGCCTTGAGGATAGGGCAGCTAGATAGAAACTGTAACAGGACCAGGACAAAAGGTAATGAAGGACTTTCCCTCCCTTGGAATTCAGTGTTGGGTTGGGCCTGCCACTGAAATCCAAGACCAGGTAGAAGCCAGCTGCCCTTCAGCCTGGGCCATGACCGCTGAGTGGAGTCTCTGGAGCTGTTTTAGCGTGACGTGGACAGCGATAGACTTGCATTCTGGCATTCGTCACCTCGGGCTGGCTGCGGTGGTCTTAGCCCATGAATGTACCAGTATTGTCAGGCAAGGTGTGGCAGTGTGAGGTACGATCCTGCTGCTCCGCTGCACTAGTCTTGATGGGCTGTAGGGTTGTAGGGCTCTGGGTGACCCAGCCTTGCAACAGCCACGGCGGCCACAGGGCTGCCAAGCAGTGCTTCTCCTAACCCCGGACAGGAGGCCAGGGAGAGGGCTGGTGCACAGGTGAAGGGGTAGCTAAGTGCAAGCGGTCACTTTGGAGCCTCCAGGTAGAGCTGTGCGGTGTGCTCCGCTGCTGGGCGGAATTCTGTGGTACTTAACCGTAGCCCAGTGGCTGGGTCAGTATCTGGACCCCATTCTTGCCCCAGCTAGAGGCTTATTGGCACAGTAGGGGTAATTTATGTTTTTATCTATCCAGAGCAATGCACTGGCTATGGATGGGTAATAAACTCAGGCTTGGGGTACCATAGTGCTGAAATAGTGGCGGTAACCACAGTGTCAGAGAAAGAGCTTGCCTAGAATTTCTGGAAGGAAAAGCATGAACAAACCCAGATTATGAGGACAGTATGCAGATGCTGTCACCATCTTATGTGCTTTAATCATCACTAGAGTACTTACAACTCCTAGGACAACATCAGTGCTGTGCATTTGTTCAGTACAGATGCATTTTAAAAAATTGTTTTACGTGTGTATTTGCTTCAATCTGTGAGCGTGGAAACCATGAGCATGGAGGACCAATGTAATATGATATAGGTGGTTCTTGAGCACACTCCAAGAGGACATCTATGAATTCATTTGGATAGATAAGCAGAGCTTCTCAGCCACCATGCTATAGGATCATTGTTAGAATCTATGAGATACAGCTAATTGTTTAGTGTTATGAGAAAAATGCTAAACCAAACTTTTTACATGTCAAACACTGTAACAGTTGAAGTTATGTGGCCACCTCTAGAATCTACTCTGTTATTTTATTGAAGCAAAAGAATCGGCAGATAACCTTGCAGACAGTAAGCTCTTTAATGGTGGCTGTACTTCAGTATTTCTTTTTAAATTACCTGGTTATTCTGAATATTACTTAATCTAGACTCTTTTTTTCAGTCAGTCACCAGTGATGTTACTGTTTGCATTGATTCACAAACTCAGTGTATTTTTTTATATTCCCTATTAATTCAAGTTAAAATTATTTTATTGTTATTGTAAAATAGATGTGAACTCTTGAACTTACATTTTTTTCTTTGTTGTTTTTTATAATTGGTTTTATTTATGAAACCAGAATAAAGGGCAGTTTGGTGATTAATCCTGTGAAGTCATTATATTCACAAGATAAAAATAATTATGCTTAATTTAAAAAATTCAACCCATGTATTAGGCTACTAAGTAAAAATTATATTAAACTTAGCTTGCTAAAGCCCAGGGAATATTGTCTTCTTCACCCTAAGTATTTTCCTTGCGTAAGTCCCTGAATAAGTCAGTGGTGCCAAGTACACTAGGCTGGCACTGTGTCACTACTTAGGAGAAAAATTGAACTGTAAACTCGAAATGAGAAAGTTTCTTCTCTCCCACCCCTTCCTCTCTTCTCATAGATATGTTCCTACAGTATCATGTTAAACTTGGAAAGCTTGTTTTGAGATCATGAAATTAATAGTTAAAGCTGAAGCAGAAATGCTTCACACAGAGTTGGAGAATTACTTGTTTTACCAGTCTGCATGGAAACTGCCAATTCTGTTTATGGCCAAGAATAAAAGTAAGAAAAGAGACACCACTTTGAAATAGTAGTAGATAATACTAAGATAGGGTTATCTGTAAATACATTTGTGAATCAAATGGTAGGTTTTAAAATCTCCAAAGACTGTCACTGCAGAATGATATACTGTATGATATATACTACATTATATGATATAAATACATATACTATATATAATGATTACTGTAATGCGTGGAAAAAAATTGCTGGCATTCAGAGAAGTTCCAAAACTGTTAAGGATAAAGTATTCCACACAGTAAATGAAGACTTTAAAACTACGACCTATGGAAATGTCATTTGATCTGATGACTGATGAGGAAGCTTCAGGATAGGATTGTGTGAAGGTTTTCATCAAGGATTCCTTCTGGAAAATAGCAGTTTGGAGGTAGCCTTATTTATATGTTTGTGTGTACAATTGAATTCCATATTAAAAAATGTTAGGATAGAAGCTAATAAAATCTTAAGTTAGTCAGCTGCATGTGTTTTTCAGTTTTATATGAAGACGTGCAATCAGAATACCTATTGTTTGATACTGAAGTGTATTAGCTGTCCAAAAGAGCTGGTTTTTTTTTTTTTTTTTTTTTCTGGTACCGGGAATCAAACTCAGGACCTTGGTTTGCCAGGCAGGCACTTGTGCCGCTGAGCTATATCCCCAGCCCCAAGAGCTGTGTTAAAAGTTTGATTTGCAGGAAAAGACGTCTTTATTGTATATGAGTCTTACTTTGTAGATTTATTAAAGAGTGAACGTCCTCAAGAAATTACAAGTATAGCACAAAAAAATGTCTTTTGACAGTTGATTCAAAGCCGAAATTCAGTCTTAAAAAACGTGAGGTTAAAAGTGATTCACTAGTCATATCTCTGCGTTTGAACACTATGATTCTTAGAGGAGTATTAACACTGATAAAGAAACATCTGCAAGTTTAAGGAAATCCTTTAGTATTATTTGACGTATCTTACATGAACAGATAGGTTTAGATTGAAAATCAGCCTGTACTATCAATAGAAAAGTCCATATTACTAGAAAAGGTAAAAATTTTTTTCATTTCTGTTAGAGTTAAAGGTGGATCAGTTCTTTGAAGTACGTTAAAAGAGACTAAATTATTTTACTGGCTAGTATCGATAATGGTGTTGCTCAGGTGTAAGAAAAGCAGTAAATATATACCATTTGCAATAAAGTCATTACTTGATTCCTATTCAGTTTCTTATTGAAGGTGACTAAAGAATTTGAAAATATGGTAAAACATCGTAGTTTGTTGAACTTGTCAGCTTTTCTGTTGCTGAGACAGAATACCTGCCACACCCACAATTTAAAGGATGAAAAATATAAATTAGCTCGGTTTAGGCTATTTCAGTACATGACTGGCAGAGTCCAAGGCAGAAATATGTGGAGCAAAACTGCTTAGCTTTTGGTGGCTAGAAAGTAGAACAGAGGAAGAGTGCCAGGGAGGAAGAGACCTGGGACCATGAACAGAAAGGCTACACCTCCATGACTTGCCCAGATACATCCAGGAGCCAGATTTACTACTCTGCTAGGTGTTTGGTAATCCTTTGAAGTCAGTACATCAGAAGTAATGGTCATAGTCCACCTCCTGTTGACTTCATACCTAGACACATCTCCTTAAACCGGACTTAATTCCCAAATAAAGACAACAGCCACTTCATAATTCTACCTAGTATCATACAGCTGTCTCATGTACAACCAAAAACATGATCCCAGTCCAAAATCTCAATAGTCTTTTTCAGATGTCTCTTTTTTTCTGAGACTCAAGGGAAATTGTAAAACTATATAAAAATAATGTTATGTCGTCTCAGGACATAATGAGATATGGTAAGCATTCCCATTGTGAAAGTGAGGAATAAAGGGATTAAAAGGGGCTGGGGATTTAGCTCAGCAGCACAGCACCTGCCTGGCAAGCTCAAGGTCGTGAGTTCAATTCCTGGTACTGGAAAAAAAAAAAAGGGGGTCAGGCCAAACCAAGACCAGCAGATCAAACACTCCTCTGAGATTCCATATCTGTCATCTAAGGCACATTAGAATAAGATCTGAGCCCATTCAGCCTGCCTCCAGCTGTCTTCTCTCACAGCCTGCACCTTTGCTCTGCAGACATTTTAATTTCCTAGTATCTTCAACTTCTGAGGCCACCACTACACCTCTGGCTTCTTTCCACAATTTCACACACTGCCCTCTCAGGGACTTTTTGCCTGACCTCCTAGACCTTCTTTGAAATCTGGATGGATGTCTTCCTGATCCCACAACTCTTATATTCTGCATGCAGGTAAAATCAGCATCACGTGGTGATGCTACAGTTGGTGGCCAGCTCTTGTAGTTGAGAGTCTCTTGGATCATGACTGCAGCAGCTCGCTGCCTGAATGGTTGAGGCCAGTAAAGTGAATTTTGGGGAACCACTTCCCTAGGAGGCTCTTACTGAGCAGGCATTCCAGAGTGTTTCCTCAAATGAAGGGGTTACAGCTTTGCAGCCCTGAACCTCTGTTGGGTGGGACTCTGTTAAGTCTGAAGAGGCCTGTAAGTCATCTTCTTTTCCATGTTCAAGTACTTGCTTTTTTTCTTTTTTTTTTATTGGTGCTAATGATCTCTAGCAGCCAAGCTTCCTTTGATTCCAACTTTACACGTGGTTCCTTCCAGGCCAGAATTTAAGTCTTTCAGTTTTTTCTCCTCAGTTTTTTGCCCCTGATTCTCATTATAAATCAGACTAAAAGCAGCCAGCAGTAGCCATGCCTGAATATTGGCTGCCTTGAAATTTCCTCTTCTAGACTCTCTAATCCACCACCCTTAATTCAAGTTTCCTCCAGAATCTTAGGGCATGAGCAAAATGTAGACATACTTTCTGCCGAAGGGTAACACATTGGCCTGTAGTTCATATGCTGATAGAGTCCTTATTCCCAGCCGAAACCTCCAGAATCTGGCCTTTACTGTCTGCATTCCTATCAACATCTCAATCTTCTGAGCTCTGCTCAGAATCACCTGTCAAGCTCTCTGTTCACACCATTCTCAGGCTTGTCTAGCCCCTTGTCCAAACCTTTCCAAGCTGTTTTCATAAATTACTTCTAAACTACATGATCAGGTAAAGTCACAGCAAAAACCTCACTCCTGGTACCAATTTTCTGCCATTGCTGTGACAATACCTGATAGCCACAACTTAAAGATGAAAAGGTTTTATTCATCTTGAAGTTTCAGGAGATCAGTGCATGCTTAGCAGCCTTCAAGGTAGAAATCTTCATATTGGGAAGGTGTGTGGCAGAGCAGAGCTGCTTACTTCATGGCAACAGAAGAGAAGAGCAGAGCAGGGAGCAGTCTGTAGAGGAAGGGACCAAGAAGTATGTATAGTATCCAGTGCCACCTCCATGTAGTAGAATGTCCACTTCCATGCCCACCCAGACACACTCAGGAGAGCACTTACTAACCTGCTGGGGGTTCCTTAATTCAGTAAACAACTTCATATCATTAACAGTCATATCAAGGTTAACAGTTACGAATTACATTTAATTAAATTATGTCTAACCTGATGTGAAAAACCTATGTCCATGAGAACCAAGCCCACATCTCATTTAAAAAAAAAAAAATTTCCCTACAAAGTTTGTCAGTTTAGGATCAGTTATTTTTGTGTATACCTAACTAGTAAGAGAAGCACTGAGAAAACAGAATACCAGAAAAGACAGCCTCAGCAGTGTATGTCAAGGAAATGAGAAGACATCTCTACAAAGGAAAAATAGGTTAACATCAATTTGTTTCATTACAAAATATGTAGCAGGCTTTGAACATTGTATGCTTTGTGTACACAATGACCTCGCTTTGAAATGAACTCTGCTTTTGAAGGTAGGTAGCCATGTGCTTGCTGAGCCCTCGGGATACGGATGTGGACAGCACAGCTTGTATGGTTGTTCTCTTGTGTGGTTCTAGTTGCAAGCTGTGTGGTTTTCCGAGATTACTCTCAGGATTATTTAGAAAGAAAATCTCTCCTTTCTTCCTCTTAAACTTCAGACTGTTAATACTGCTTTATTTTAAGTATTAACCATTTGAGAAGCACAAATTGAAAGGTATTTCAGTGGTAGTTATTCTAGTGAATATGTGGGAATTCTTTTATCTTCTAGGATGGATCTTTCATTGTGGCAGTATTTATTGTTTTATCTACATTTGCGAAGGACATTTTTGTGGATATTAAGTTTCAGACTGCAAGTTATATATTTTTTAAAGATGGTTTTCTGCTTTCCAGCATTTTCATTGTTATGCAAATTGTTGCTTTTTTCTTTTTCTTTTCTCTTAAGTATATCCTATCTTTTTCTGGATTCATTTTGCTCTTTGTGTAAGCAGCAAAGCCAAAATATGCCTACCAGAAGTTTATTTTAAATTATTTATTGTAATTTTGAAGAGCTTCTTCAATCTGAGACTGAGTATCTTTTGTCAGTTTTAGTCTTTGTTAGTATCTCTTTAAACATTTCTTCTGCTGCATTCTCTTTTCTTCCAGCGTTCCTGTTAAACACGTGTCTTTGCTCTATATCATTTGTGTTTAATACATAGTTTTCCATCTTTTCTTCCTCTCTCTGTTTCAGACTACATAATTTTCTCTGATCTTGCAGTTCACTAATCTGTGCTTCTGTGGTTAAATCCATTTATCAAGACTTAATGTTTATTTACATTTTCCAATTTATTTCTAATTTGAGTTTTTTTTTAAAATAGACTTTTCTGGCAGAATTATAGTTGCCTATTTTCTTAAATATATAAATAATTTTGTTTGTTTTGTTTTCTTATATTTTATCCAGATGGAACATACAGGCCACTTTCAGAATCAGAAGTGTCCAGTTATACTTTGCATTGTTTTTATGGCATTCTCAAAACATGAAAAGATGGTTTTTATCTTTCATAAACATGAAACATATTCTCCATTTTGCTGTGGCTTCTTCACACTAACACATAAAAAAAAAATCTTTGTTTAAAGCAGCAAATAGAAATAACATGTATTGAGTTCTAAAAACGTGTAGGCCCTCACTATACATGTCACAAACATTTTCAGTTTAGTTAGATAGCACATATCCAAAAGAAGACATAAATTAGGAATTTACTGATATAATTTAGGAACTGTACATATATGTCAAATGATGTAGAGCATACTAAAGAAGACATGAGATCTAATCATTGTTATCAGGTTATTTAAACATCAGAACAAGCAGTATGAGATGATGTTTTCATCTTAATGCGTAAGGAAAAATGGTCTGTTAAAGAAAACCTAAAATATAGACTGTAACAATTAAAATCACTCACAACCTGTTAATCACTAAGGACATTTTTAGTGTAGGAATATTTCTAGTCTTTTTTTCAAAAACATTTAAAAAGTTTTCAAATTAATTATGTGCAGTTCTAGTACAATTTTGCTTTCTTTAAACCTTTACTATTTCTAATGTCTTTTAAAATGACATAGCACTTTTTACTCTGAAAGACTGATTTTCCTTTTAAGTACTGACCTGGTTCAATGCAGTTATTTCTTTAAGAGTTATGACAATTTTATATAAACTATATAATTATAATAGTGTGTTTTTTAAAAGTTGGTTTAAATATTTTAGTAGTCACTGTAAACTTTCTTACTATAGTTGTTTGCTTGTATCTTAAAGGCCAAACTGTTTTCAGATAGTCGTGCAGCACTTCAGTGAAGAGCACTACATCTTCTACTTCGCAGGAGAGACTCCGGAGCAAGCGGAGGTGAGGGCACTGTCTCCTCACTGTAACCCTGCTAGCCCATGTTTTCTTACAGTTAAAGCAGAATGCTATTCCGTTGAAGATAACGTGATTACTTGATGCTTGAAATCTCAGCAGTTTTTCATTTTAAGCAGTGAGAAGTTTCATGCACAAAGTCTTTTTTGAAAGAAATGCAGAAGCAAATGCAGTGAAGGGTTAGTGGGGATGAAAACTTCATTTAAAATTGACCTTTAAATATTTTGTGATGCTGAGTCCAGCTGAGAATGTTCAGTTAAAAGCCTCCCTCCAGAAAGGTTGTAGGTACTCTCAGTACAATCCAAAGGTAAGCCAGTTAGTTTTGCTAACAAGCATTGTTATTTTTCACTAGTTGAGCCATATCTAAAAAATAAAAGTGCCAGCATCAAGACAAAAAATACTTCCTGTTGTTCACTATATGTTCTCTAAGCGTGCATGTGTCCACCTGAGGGCTGTACATTGACCCATTCGCAATGCCTTTCTTGTAACTTAGAATTTTAGGTAATTCTATGAAGAAATATTTTCAGAAATCTCCTGTTAAATACATTTTTTTCTTTAAAGTTTAATATTTCTGGAGTGTTTTAGTTGTATTTTGTGTAAGCATGACCACATTTCTCCTAGAACTCTTTGGAAGGAACCTAAAGGTAGTTAAAGAAGTCAGAGAAAGTGGTGCTGCTGGAAATAGAACATAATTTGCCAACCCTGGCTATGAAGCTGATGTTCTTAAAACTAATCTTCTAGCATGGCCTCTGACTCACACACTGTGGTAATATTAGAATACTTGAATGAGGATTATGGTTTACAATTTAATGACATGTTTGAAATTTTTGTAAAATAGCTCAAAAATTCATTATAATGCATGTACAACTTTGTTTTGTACGTATGTACCCCTAATTTTTAGGTGAGAGAGGTAGAGATGGGAACATTTTAGTAACTTAGCTATTTTTTAAAATGCTAGACATCGAGATAGGAATAGAAATTTAAACTCCTATCTTCCAGTTAATCATTTTTTTCTTTCTGAATAAAAATGTTACATGACATGTCAGATTCTTGTGTAAGCCTCATTTAAAATGTCTCATTATTATATTTATTTATCCTCTTTCCATATCCTGTTCTGGTTTTCGCTGGTTTTGGTGGGCTGTGGAGGCTTTCCTGTTTCTGAAAGCCCTGAGAATTGATTTGGGTTTAATCTTCTCTGCTGTAAAGATGTTCTCTGAACAGTGGCAGAGGTCCGGCCCACAGAAACAGCCAACACACTGCAGACGTAATTCAGTACGCAGAAGCGCAGAGCTTTCCAGAAATACGAAAGCCAAAGCGAACATTTAGATTGTAATAAACCGAAATTGTTCTCTCCTTTTTCTTGGGCAATGTCTTGTTTAAACATTCAAAATAACTGCTGTAATTTAAATATGAGGCTGACATGATTTTAAAATCCAGGCTTAGAAATACTAGATCCTCTGACATGTTTTTGCCTGTGTGATGGTCTTAAGACATCACATTACCAGTCAGTTTTGCCACTGGCCCTCTCCTCTCGAGGCTGTTCGCTTAGATTCTGCCAGAGCTCAGGTGCTACAGCTCATCTACACACAGGACTTTCCCCAGGGAGTTGGTATTTCAGAAAGCCAGTTTAATGAAAATTACATTGTTTTAGTTAATTAATGGCTACACATTAGTATACTTAACATTGATTAGGTTTTCTCTCTAAAATCAAGCCATTTTTATAGAACTCTTAAGTTTTGGGCTATTGTTTTACTTTTTTGGGACATTTTAAAATTCAGTATAACCTGAGACTAAAATATAGTAGTCTAGAGAAGGAAAAACTATTGAATTTGAAGGAAATAAATCGATGATTAGAAATTAGATTATTTCTTTGAAATCCTGTTATTTTTTATAGGATTGGATGAAAGGTCTGCAGGCGTTTTGCAGTTTACGGAAAAGTAGTCCAGGGACATCTAATAAACGCCTTCGCCAGGTAAATCTTGATTACATTTGTTGTAATTAGCACAGTTTTCACTGTCATTCTGCTCTTTTTATTTTTACGTGAAGTCTTTTGGCCTGCATTTCTTCAGAGGTTATTTTCAGGCGTTTTAAGCTCTGGTTCCACTTCAGTAGCAGGAAAAACATTTCTGAAAGAGGATGTTCTTTGTACACCTACCTCTGCTTCTTAATGTTATTGCTAACTTTTGAATAAAAATGAAGGATTATTTCACTTAAAATAACAGTACCAAATGAACAGAAAAATACTATTGGACACTTTTCCTTCAAATTATTTTGCCCTAAAATAGAACTGTAGGTAGTTATTGAAAAGGTGGTCTGCTTTATAATCTCCTAGTCTCAGTAAAGTTTTGAGCTTTTCATTCTATACTAATTATTTTTGAAACTCGCTGTGTAACTCCTAGATAATATCTGATCTAATTTGAAACCGTAATCTTGCTTATGTTTTTGTTTATGGAAAATTAAGCTAGGCTTTCTCTTTTCTCTTTTCACGTATATAAGAGCAACTTTATGCGCTCCACTTCTGGGGTTTTTGTTTTTCCATGGTAACCCTAGATCCATGGTGGTGAACCTAAGGCATGTATGTTGCAGTGGGCTGTTTGTATCACTGAAAGCTCTAAAAGGTTTGCCGTCACTGCTCTGGATAGTTGGAAGAAATTAGGCACGTTATGACGCTTTTGGGATTTGGAGGGAAGCGCAGTACAATAAAGTAACTTGTAGTCATGGGAATTTGTAGTATCCTTACTGAATGTAACATTGTTCCACTGAAATGGATAAATGGTTAATATTTGGCTGACTAGTCCCTGTAATTCAGAATCTTGCTCCTTTTCCCGAAGACATTTAATTTTACCCATAATCACCATATGCCTTTAGAACATATTGTAACTTTTATGAACTATGGAAAAATCAGATTGGATGTTCGGCAAAAACAGTGAGTTAGTTGTATCTTGTGTGAAACATGAGCCATGAAATTTTTTGTAGGTAGAATCACAGATAATCTTTTCTAAGCCCTTTCTGGGTCAGGTGCTCTATGTTCTGTACATACATTGTTTCTGCGCCTTAGACAACCACCAGTGTACTTGGTGTGTGTGTGCTGTGGATGAGAAAGGGAAGGCCTAGAGCCTGACTAGGCCAAGGTCATGTTAGTAGCGGGTAGCAAGGGACAAAGAGGATTGCTACTTGGGAGATAGATAGTCTTAAGTTTTGGCACAAAACTAAAACCAAGCTTGGTTTTGTATCCTTTTCTATAATATCAGAAGGTAGAATCAGTGTCTAGCTGTGTAATTTTTTTCTGTAGTGGTAACAAGGGCTTAGATAAGCATTATGTAACATTTGGTATTTTGGTTTGGGTAGTTACAGTTGTTTAGATTACTAAAGAATCCTCTTCTGTATCTTCTCAGTATCATTGTTCTATGGTAGAAAATGTTTATTTCATTATTACTGCACAAATAGTCACAAAATTAAATGTCATTTTTATTTATTTTTAAGTAGGAAAATTTTAAATGTTTGAATTTTAAATACATGAATATTTTGTATTGTGTCACATGAAAGGAAAAATATGAATGAAGGCTCAATATTTTCTGGAACCAGAAAAATAAGTCACTGTTTTTGACTTCGTATTTTATAGTTGTTACTCTAAAACCTAGTATATAATATTTGAGCTCTGGGGTAGTAATTGTTGTTTTCCGTAGGTCAGCAGCCTTGTTTTACATATTGAAGAAGCTCACAAACTCCCAGTGAAACATTTTACGAATCCATACTGTAATATCTACTTGAATAGCGTCCAAGTAGCAAAAACTCATGCAAGGGAAGGGCAAAATCCAGTATGGTCAGAAGAGTTTGTCTTTGAGTAAGTATTAAATGACCTTTTTTAAACCAAACTGCCTTTCTTTACCACCGCCCCCATTTCTGTTTTTACACTGACAGAATAGGGTGCCCAATTTAGATGTTTCAGCAGTAGAGAATTTTGTGTGTTGTATTTGTTCACCTTCATTAGCTGAGTGCTGTGCTATTGTTTTTTTACTTAATTATTTATACACATTAGCATCACTTATCGTCAAAAACTATACAAAATGCTTTTTTAGTAGAGTTTCCAGGATTAACCTGAATTATTGGTGGTTTACTAGGTTAAAACTGATCGGAAAAATGTGTGATCTGCTTGTCAGAATTGCTGTATACCAGATAATAAAATGTGTTATGAATCCAGTTTGAAATCTAGCATGCTCAAGTTTTGAAGGGAGCCTATTTGACAGTAGAACTGAAGGAATCGAGCAGTCAGAACATTTTGTTAATTATTTTTTTCCTTCTTCAGTGATCTTCCTCCTGACATCAATAGATTTGAAATCACTCTTAGTAATAAAACAAAGAAAAGCAAAGATCCCGATATCTGTAAGTTGCTAAGAAACTTTGTAAAGTAAAAAAAAAAATGTTTTATAAGTTTTCAGAATTCATGAAATGTCTTAAAATGGAAATTATAGAGCAAAACAGGAATGCAAGTAATATAATTTGAGACAGTTCCTTACTGTACTTTTTTAATCTAGGAGAAACAGACCCAGATGTCTAACTTGTACACACTGTAAACTGAAGCCCTGAAGACTAACATAAAAATCTCTATCAGTCTCTTCCCCAGCTAGTAAGAGCATGAAAATGGCCAGTTTTCGGTGAGGGCTCCCCCTTTCCTCCTTTTCACTTTATCTTCTTCCTGCTGTCCTGTAGAAAAAAAGAGAGAGAGTGCGGTGTTCGCACAGTCACACGCTCCCGGTGGTGGCTGTCATCGGTGTACTTTCTCCCAGCCTACTGCTAGGACAGACGGCAGGGGGATTTAGCAGGGTACATCAGGGCGTATTAGGTTAATACCTTCTTCAAAATTCAGGCCTAAGGAAGGAAATGATATGTACTAACAGGTCAAAGCCTGAATTGGTGTCTGTGAAATGTATGTGATTACTGTACTGAAACACTTTTTGTACTGGTTGCCCATTACTTTTATGATAAAATCCTAGTAATGACGTACAGGGAAAGCCGTACTTCCATCTGGACTGCCTGCTTGCTCTCTACGTTTTTACTGGAGCTTGTGGGTCACTTTAAGGTTTATCTGCTTACAGTGGGTGTTTGACCTTCTAAGATGGAATTATGGATCATTTCTCTGTGTTCCCAAAGCATTATTGACTGTTACTTATCCCAGTGTACCATAACTGATTTCTCCCTTCTTGCCCAGGCTGACCTCCATGCACGTCATGTGTTGGTCATCTCTGTATCCCAGGTCCTTGGCCGTCACAGAGTCTAGCACGTAGTAGACAGGCAGTACATGAAGTAAGCAGTCACATGTGGAGCTTGTTATGTTCTTGAAATGCTTCAGTGAAAAGCTTTAACATTGTAGAGGACTGAACTTCAGGAAAATTTACTTGCATGGCTAATGACAGTGTTACCTTGTTTATGTAATCATTTTTTTTTCTTTCAAAGTATTTATGCGTTGCCAGTTGAGCCGGTTACAGAAAGGTCATGCCACAGATGAATGGTTTCTCCTCAGCTCCCACATACCACTAAAAGGTATTGAGCCAGGATCCCTGCGCGTTCGAGCACGATACTCCATGGAAAAAATCATGCCAGAAGAAGAGTACAGTGAATTTAAAGAGGTAATTATTCTCCATTTTTAGTGGCATTATTAATAAACAAAAATACAGTATGTTAAATGCAGTAATTTCATACCTCCATGCCTCCATGGCACACTGATAACCCAAGGTTCAGAACCTCGTGGTATAATTTTCATCTAGAGATCAGACATAAGTGGGTGACAGAGTCACTCTTTCTTAATACATCTGTTCAGTGGACATACTTCTCATTAAACACAAGAATACTGTTCCCAGCGTCTCACTGGAGACACACCATGCAGTGTACTTTCAGCAGTCTCTTCATGCTGTTTCTAGCTCATCCTGCAGAAGGAGCTTCACGTCGTCTATGCTTTATCACACGTGTGTGGGCAAGACCGAACACTACTGGCGAGCATCCTCCTGAGGATTTTTCTTCATGAAAAGCTTGAATCATTGTTGCTGTGTACACTAAATGACAGAGAAATAAGCGTGGAAGGTAGAGTATGGATGTGTGCTATCTTTAAAACTTGGGCTATTAGATTTATCTCATGTGTCTGTCTTCAAGAATGTTAAAAAACTATCATATTGTAAAGTATGTTATTCTGTTTTTCCTTCACTAAGAGATACAGTTGGGGTGCCAGCTCTGATCTTGTTGTTTAGTATTGGGCGAGCATTTCTAATACAGGTCTCTGTCAGGGAAGACTATGTTAGACGCCATAGAAAATCCTTTCTGTTGCAGGCCAGTGGCCCACGGTACTTTACTCTTGAGAATAGTTTGGTTTACTTAATAACCATACTCTTTTGTTGTTTTACTCATGAATTCCTTGCAAAGAAGTGGAGTGTTAGTTGGATTTTATAAGTAGGCTATTGGACACAGTGCTTTTAATAGCTTCCTAATATGTCAAAGTAATCCATTCCCCCCACCCCCAGCACTCTGACTCACCAATAGTTCTTGCCTCGAAATACTGGAGCTCCCATAATAAACTGCAAAGTATAAAACTATTCTTTGCTAATCATAAAAATTATAAAAATATAGATTTGTGAAGAAATAGATTAAATGGTGATACATATTTTACACTGAGACTTTCTTCTGATATTTGTATTTTTTTATTAAAACTCAGTATCCATGTTTTAGCTAATAAACTTATACTGGGATTTTATGTTACATTCTACTTGCAAATGGACTCAAATTTTTTAACACATAAAATTAGTGTTCAGCAGAGCAGGGTCTTGCAGAACTGGGCAAGTGATCTTAGAAAATGATAAACCATTCTGAGCTTTCATTTTTCACATAAACATGTTATTCATTCCTTCTGTTTATGATTTAACAATTGTATATAAATAATATATAAAATTGTTTTACATTGTGAAATCTTTAGAAATAAGTCATAATCCATTTTCAGTCATGCATGCAAAATATGTATTTACTGCAATGGCTGAGTTGGTGTGGAGAAGTAAATTCATTTCCAGTTCGATCACATTCGTGGGCCACGTGTGTTCTAATGTAACTGTGTGCACAGATGAAGCCACCACCCTGTTTCGAGCCACAACACTTGCGAGCACCCTGATGGAGCAGTACATGAAAGCCACCGCTACCCAGTTTGTCCACCACGCCCTGAAGGACTCCATTTTAAAGATAATGGAAAGCAAGCAGTCTTGTGAGGTAAGAGTGTAATGGCTTTTTATTCTGGTCTGGTTAGGGACTGAACCTAAGGCCTTGACACTGAGCTACATTTCTAGCCCTTTTTTCTTTTAAATTTGAGACAGGTCTTGCTGAATTGCCCAGGCTGGGTTCAAACTTAAGATCTTTCTGTCTCAGCGTCCCAGAATGCTGGGATTATAGTAGTGTGCTACCACACCAGGCTAAAAATTTAGGATTTTAAAATTTAATTTTTAAGTTATTTTAGTAAATACCAGATTTTAAAAGTACTGCTTTATAGCAAATTACATTTTAAGCTAAGGCAAACATTAACTTTCTAAAATTCACCGAAGTAATTGCACTTTATGTAATACCAGTTATAAAAAGGTTTTTATAACAGACTTTTTAAGTGCACTAAGGCTAAAGGTGTAGCTCAGTGGTGGAGCACGTGCCTGGCATGCATGAGGCCCTGAGTTCAGTGCCCAGCACCACACGCAAGCACACACAGGTTGCACCAGAAATCCGTAAAAGTATTTTGACAGTCCTCCTGAAGTAATGATCACATACGCTACTTTCAGAGTGCACATAACATAAATTGCATGCTTTTCCAGGGCCTTTTAGGTTGTACAAGTTGAGTACCCTTTAACCCCAAAAGATGGGGACCAGAAATGTCTTAGATTTTGGAGTATTTCCATACACATTATAAGGTCTGTTGGGGATGGGATTCAGTTGTAAACACAATTCATTTGTCTCCTACATACTTTATACATGTAGCCTGAAAATAATTTTATACTGTATTTTTGGAGCTCCTGTGTTTTGACTGTAGCCCATCACGTGAGGTTAGGTATGTAATTTTGCATTTGTGGAAACATGTCCCCACTCAGAAAGTTGGGAAATTTGAAGCAGTTAAGAGTCATCTGGATTTCAGATTGGGAGCTTGGTTTTGGGAGGAAAGATGGAATTAAGAGAAAAGCAAAGGACTTTTACAGTGATTAAGACTACAGGGTGAATTCATAATGAACCATTAAAATCATGAATACAATGGTACTTACATGGCTGTTCTCATTTGATTTTGATAGTAGAGCCATTACAAAGGAAGACACTGGGCTTCATTTTTAAACTTGATACAGAATCAATAAAATAAGGAATTATTTTTATTGCTGGAGGCTGCCAAATATTAATTTTGCTCTGCCTTGTCAATTTTTACTTACAAGTTGGAGAAGAAATGAACGATGTAGTGTTTCAAATCCAGGATAATGCCATACCTAATCATGAAGGATGACATGGAGATACAGCACGTCTGTAGGGAATTTCTGTGCTTTGGATGGAACGTAGGGAACTCACACTTTCATTAATACCCAGCTACAACTCTTAGATTCGAGGGGTTACTAGAAGTTTTTTAAAGGTTCTTGATGTTATCTAAAGTATGTGGTAATTATTAGCTAACAATTAAGTCTTACTCAGAAAATGCTTTTTAATCACTCTTGCCTCTTTAAGTCAATAAAACTGGGTAGTCACTAGTTGCTCCTCAGTGGGTTGTTGATGGGAGGTAGCAAACCTATTAGGAGGTCTGTAGGGCAGAGTACTTCAGAGTTCCTTACACGAAGAAGAAGACATATATCACAGGAAAGTGGAGAACCTTGGAAATTGTTTGTGTGCCTTGCTTTAATTGCATTTATCATTGCCAAGGTATATTTATATTGATTTGTTCTGTCTCTCAGTTAAGTCCATCAAAGTTAGAAAAAAATGAAGATGTGAACACTAATTTAGCACACCTATTGAACATACTATCAGAGCTTGTGGAAAAAATATTCATGGCTTCTGAAATACTGCCACCGTAAGTAGTGAAATTTTTATTTGAAAAAAACTGTCTACTTTTTGAAAAGTTTCTCACATATAAGAGCTTTCTATTGCCTGATATTATTATACTGAGTTATCGTTCAGATCTTTAAAAATAAACTGTGTTAAAGAAAAAGAGTTAAAAGAGACCAGAATGAAATACTTTTTATTAAACCAGAGTGAAATACTTACATTCATAAAACAAACCATTTGTTCAAACAGGTGTAGCTCGGGGAGTCAGCAGAGACCTGTTGTCTCAGATCTAGGGAGACAAGACAGATTGTCTATTTAGTCTGTAATTTCTCATTCAAAATGTGTACCGGAGGTGGGATCTGGCTCAGTGGTAGAGCACTTGCCTGGCACGATGAGAACCTGGGTTGAATCCCAGCAGTGCCAAAAATAAAAAGAAAGAGAAAAGAAATTCAAAATGTGTAACAGGTATCATTACGCTCAGTATCTGTTTAAAAGCCTCCAGTGTTAGTGAATTTATCTGTTCAGGTAGAATTTAAATCAAAATCTTCTCCCCCGAACTTGGTACCATATTAGTACTGCACTCCAGTACTTGCTTTGTAGTTTTCATTGACATAAAAGTAGCCTAAAATTGATGGTAATCTTACTGGATTGTCTTACTTACCCCTTGCCAAAAGTCTCATTACTTTTGACAAGATACTTTTCTGGGGGAAGGTCAGCTTAAGCTTTTGGCTGCCATAAGACCAATATTTTTTACTTGTTTTTTTTTTTTTTTTCATTACAATAATTGTTTTATTTTGGCAGGACACTGAGGTATATTTATGGGTGTTTACAGAAATCCGTTGAACATAAGTGGCCTACCAATAAAACCATGAGAACAAGAGTTGTTAGGTAAGGCTCATCAGTTCACTTGTCACATCATACGTAGCACACAGCGGTTATGCATATGTATACACACAGTGAGTAAAGACACAGGCATTTGGTGCTGAGAGGAGAGTACTAATTAAGCACTTAGATGCTGATTAATTGGTTTGTAAGAAACATCTATGATGGCAGCTTCATTTCTACCAAAGCTTCTAGGTTGGAAGGTCTGTTTCAGTTTGCCTATTGTACAATAATTAGGAGGTACTTCTATGACAAGTCACAGAATTTAAGAGCTTGTATACGGAGACTTCATTATCATTATTCTAACATATTTGTCCAATAAAGAAGCAGTTCTGGAGAGGGTAAATTGTTTGCCTAAGTGGGCTAGGTGTGATGGTAACCTACCACTTGGGAGGCTGGGGCAGGAAGATCACCATGAGTTCAAGGCCAGCCTGAACGACACAGGAGACCCAGTCCGCCCGCCCCCTAAAAGCCTATGGCTATCACAAAGTTAATACCCAAGGCAGAAGTAAAGCTACCTTCTAAGACTTAACGTAGTGTCTGTGCTGTAGGCTGTTGTTAATAAGCATGTCACAAGCAATACAAGGTAACTGGATGCTTAGTACATAAACATCAGTGAATGTGGCCATTTCCTAATTATGTAATTACTGGTTGGAGTTTACACTGCAAGTTAGATTTCAAGGCAAAACAGGAAAAATTACTGAAGACACCAGTGTCATAATCCTGCCTGTGATACAAATTTTGTCAAGGAGCTTCTACTTTTTTTTGTAGATAAAACTGTATGCCTATAGTCTAAGCTATTTGAGAGGCTGAGGCAGGAGGATTCAGAGTTCAAAGTCAGCCTGGGCAACTAAGTGAGACCCTGTCTCAAAAATAAAAATCAAAACAAGAACAAAAACAAGAATCCACATAGCCAATAAAATAAAACCACTCTCTGGGGATCAAGGGGTGTAGCTCAGTGGTAGATCACCTGCCTGTCAATAGTGACTCCTGAATTAATCCCTGGGACCATCAAAGGGGGCAACAGCTATCTTGGTCACTTATGATACACATTTAAATATCACAGATTCTGTATTTCTAGGCTTTAGTGGTGAATGGGTAAAAGGAAGCATTACAAGCGTTCCATTTCAATACAGTTATGTGTGTGATGGAAATAAAGCTGTTCTGCAAACTGAGTTTTCCATAAGCACTTGTTAAGCAGATACAGCAGGGTTTGATGCAGTAATCGGGGCATTCACGGCCAAGATGATTTCTGTCCCTGGTAAGCTTTTAAATGTGTATATACTTAACGTACCCTTTTCGAGTTTAAAATTACCTCCTAGAACTCCAAAAGTCAGCGCGCAGTTGACTGAACTGAAATCCTTAGGTCAGTGTTGCCAGGTGAGGCTTTTAGGTTCCCAGACCCTAGTTAAGTATCAAAATGTTTTCACGTAAAATTTAGGCAGAAGTAATTAAAAAGAAATCCAGATATAGACTTAGTTCTTGTTATGATGTAAGTGGTATATATGCTGTTCGAAAAATAAGATTCATTTTCTAAGAGTCCAGAATGCGCAAAGTGCCGTACATTTGAAGGGAGTGCTGGGAAGTTGGGTCATCCACTCTTGCATGGGGCAGGTAAAGCAATTAGTGTACATTTCTCGTGAAAGGACCTGAAAATTATCTCCACAACGTGTGCTTTCTATAGTGCGTGAGCGAGGCAGGGTACACTGTGTATACAGTAACATCTCACTACCTCACTGTTCCTAAAGTAGAATTAGCAGTTAGTATCATGGTTTTGCTATTATTTTTTGATAGCTTTTAAGCTTTAGAGTCCACTCTGCCTTCTCTTAGATTTTCATTTATCAAGTTACTTCTCTAGTGCAGAGGATTCCTATTTTCATATGAAGAATCAACAAAATTGATAAAACCACCTTAACTTATGACTATTAATGAGAGAGGCAGAAATGAGAGAATAATTGAAGTTTTGCGATTTCATGAAACTATAGTATATGCGAAAGATTTCTTTGTACTGCTATACTATTTCAGAAATCCTTAGGGTTCCTAAGGGTATTGCTGCCTCTAAGTCAGGATAAAATAAACTGCAAGTCTGGAATGAGTAGCATCTAAGACAATAAATGTACTGTTCAACTTAACATCTTCCCAAAGTTAATCGAAAATTCCAAATTTGAGAAAAGTGGGTAATACATTCACGAAGCATAACTGTACTTAGTTTTAAAATACGATGCTTTGGCTTATTATTTTCTTAAAGCTATGTTTGCATTTCCCTACGGGAATTCAGAGTAAAGGCTGAGGTACTGAGTATTAAAACATTCTGTCCAGCCAGGCTTGGTGACACACACCTATAATTTCAGGTACTCAGGTGAATAAGGCAGGAGAATGGCAAGTTCAGGACCAGAATTGGCAACTTACCTGCCTCAAAACAAAATACAAAAACAGAAAGAAAGGAGGGGAGGATGTAGCTCAGCGGCGGAGCACTCGCTCAGCGTGTGTGCAAGGCCCTGCGTTACTCCCCAGTACCGTCCCCCCGACATACAGTGCTGTTTATATTGATTTTAATGTACTATATACAATGGTTTTCTAAAAAGAATTTCCCTCCTATTCAGTGGCTTTGTTTTTCTTCGGCTTATCTGTCCTGCCATCCTGAATCCACGGATGTTTAATATCATCTCAGGTAATTAGCTTTTGATAAATTTTGAAATGAGAAAAAACTTTAGAATAAACAGTTTCACTATTTGATAAGAACATTAATTTTGTCTTTTAAGTCTGACTTTAAAAAAATTACTGAATTCTAAGACGATATAAAGCATTCTAAAGTATATTTCCCTTTTTTTGTTCTTCCCCTTTTCTGTTTTGCATCTTATCTTCCACCTAATGCCTAAGACAGCAAAATTACACACATTCTACTTTGCATCTGTGTTTTTTTATGTGTAAGTTTTTTTGCAAGTTAGGAAGAACTTTGGTGTGTTCAGTTCATGCTGGAGTGCTGCACAGCTTCTTGAGATCAAATTAAAATTCCACATACAGTTGCGGTAGTGCTTTGTGAGTACTTAGGAAAAAAGTAGCTTTGGCTCCCATTGAAGACAGTCATAGGTCATATGTTAATCAGTATTTTAAACACCAGTAAACCTTGCTTAGCTTTGTTCATTACTTGGTGTCCATTATGGACTGACTTCCAGACGATGTAGGTTTCTTTCAAAGAAAGGTTAACAGAATAACTTTAAATGCAAAACAAGCCATTAGTAGAAGGCACCAGAACTACAGTTACCTTAATAATTGAAAGCTCTATTGTTCGTTAGAATATCTTAATATTTACATCCATAATAATTGAAAGCTCTATTGTTCGTTAGAATATCTTAATATTTACATCCATAGTCATGATGTCTGTAAAATTATTGCTACTAAAATGGTTAAACCTACAACTCTTAAGAATTAAGAGAATTCTTTTGAAGAGATTTATAATGTATCCAACTTCATCTCTGAACTCACCAATACATTCTGACATCAAGCTGTCAGGTAGACTACCTGTCATAATTTTATTGTTAAGCAGTTACTTTGATTAGTAACTGCAATTACTTTTCGTTTACATTCCACTATGTTCTGTAGGAATGTATTATTCTTGAGCTTTGAAATATTTTATTAAGTTTCATGTTTTTCTCCAGAAAACAGCACAGGTCCCAGATTTATCTTTGCTCTTCATATTTAAAGTGAAATATGCAATAAAATAAAACTTCGTGCGGTATTTTGAAGTAGTAGTAACTAGTTGGAAGTAACATATTTGTAGTACACTTTTCTAAACAAAACTAGAAGCACCTTTCCCATTTAACACGAGTTCTTTTGGACAGGTCATACAGTTTTCAGAGAACACTGTAAGTTCTGAGTAGAACGTTAATCTTTTACAGTAAAGAAGCATCAAACTGCTAAATTTCTAATGGCTTACCTGAAGGTACCTTCCAAGTTGGTATCATTAGCTGTCCCCAATTCTTTTATAGATTCCCCATCTCCTATTGCTGCAAGGACACTGATACTAGTGGCTAAGTCTGTGCAGAATTTAGCAAATCTTGTGGAATTTGGAGCTAAGGTAAAAGCATTTTGATACTTTAAAATGTAATTTATGAAACAGTAAATATTTCATAAAGATTTAATTACACATTAGCGGTACTTGTTGATGTGTTCTTAAAATGTCTTGTTTAGTGAACTTTAAAAACCATCATTTTAGCCATTAGGAAACTAATTCCTAAGATCGAATGCATGCAAACTTTTCCTTTTTTGAATGTTAAAACTCACTGGGCATGTTTTAAATGTAAAGTCATGTTATTTCACAATAAACATTTGCTGTAAACATTATGATTCAAATGAATTGTTAAAACGCGTGATTGTATTACAAGGCTAGCAGCTGCTCGTTCTCCCATTGGGATCATGCTCACTTGCTTCTGTCAGTGTGACAGACTTCTTTTGTGTCAGGAGATGCGCAACTTCTTGTTCTTAAGGGTTAGACTGGTATACCATCATGTGGATGTTAAGTCATCCTCTACTAGATAGATGGGGTCCAATTTGTTACTGATACTGCTGTAGCCAAAACTTGTGTTTCATTATTTCATTTCTTTAAAGACTTGTCACCTCTCATTTTTAGAGTTTTTCAGTGTGTATACAATGCTGTGTTGTAATTTGGTCCAGAATTTCTCATTCTTAAAATACCTCAGTTCCTCACGATAGCTGTTTTTGAGGAAAGGAGTAGCGTGTGATTAATTCTTATTAACTAGAACCCTTGCTACACGTGTGTGATTTTTGCTGTGTGTCAGGCAATTGTTTATTGCACCTATAAGTTTTTTATTTTCTTAGGAGCCTTATATGGAAGGTGTGAATCCATTCATCAAAAGCAACAAACATCGTATGATCATGTTTTTAGATGAACTTGGGGTATGTATATAATTTTCAGTTAATATACATGATTTAACCTAGTTAAGGAGCAACCTTTAGAAAAGTTTTAAATCTACCTTTCTGAAAAAAAATTTAATTTTTGTTGGCAGAACCATTTCTTACTGATTTACACAGTTGTGGCTTTTGAACTACCTGCATAGCTTCTAGTTTCCATTTTGCCTTACCTATTCCATCTCAGCCACTGGGACATTCTGAGGATTCTTTAGCGTCTACTCTTTGCAGCTAAGATTTGAAACAAAGTGGGTAACCTATAGTTCTTTAAATATGTAAATAAGTGTCCTTATGATTATTCCAGGAATCAGATACATGCATTTGGTGAGTTGCTTCATTCAGGGTGACTACCTATGCTTCATGTCTGTCTTTATAAATAGTAAAATTATGATTACAAAATCTAAGTAAATATGAAATATATTTAAATTTTTAAAATGCTTTTTTTTGGTAAAGTTAGATTTTCTGGATTCTCAATTTTTCAGAGATTGAGTCAGGTTTAAACTATTGATACTAGCAGTTTAGCTTATACAGACAGAAACCAGAAAGTGGCGTATGTGGGAAATGATCCAGGTTTATGACTAGGTGGGAAACGGAATTGCCACATTCAGGTTTAATGCATTCAGATGCAGTTTAAAGCACGGCCAGTAATACCACACCACTGCAGGAAGTGAGTCAGGCTAAGGTTACAATCTTAGGGAAGACATTACTGTGTTTTTAATTATTAGTATATGAACTCCTGGGACGCTTTTAGGTAAATGTTTCTAATTACCAGAAAAATATAGCTGGTTGGTGGTGAGAAACATTTTTTTCTAGCTATAATAATGTTTAAGCATCTGCTTGGGAAATGTGTGCCTTAAAGGTGGATTTTTCCTAGGCTGTGTTCTAGGTATCAGCTTTCACTCCTGGTTATACCGCAAAATCTAGCTTCTCAAAGCTGTTTAGAATCTACGTATCATAATACACCTCCAATCTGCTTTTGTTCCTTCACTTGTTATAAATCATTTCATCTTTGAAGAATCACATCTTCATGTTCTGCTTCCTGTTTCTGTCCTACACAGCTACAGTTGTGTTGCTGTGATTTGGCTTACTCTTTTTTGGTTTGTTTTGCTGTTTGTCTTGCTCCATAGTTCAGGCTGGCCGTGAGCTCACTGTGTAGCCCAGGCTGGCCTCGAACTTGCAGAGATCCTCCTGCCTCAGCCTCCCAAGTGCTGAGATTACAGGTGTGTGCCACCATGCCTGGCTGGTTTACACTTGTTATTTGTACCAAACTATAAGCCCTCTGAAGGCAAATGCTAATGCCTTTTATTTCTATAATCCTTTAGTTATTGATGAATAAATGAGTAACTGGGTCAGTAAGAATGAATGTATTCTGTTTAATGCTTTATACCATAAACGTGAGAATTTTACAATTTTTAGGCGTGTATAACATTGTCATTAAATAGGCGAACAGATTTATATAGTTTTTGGTAATCCAAGCCCATGTTAAATTTTATTCCAAGGTTTGAAATAACAGTGGTTTTATTAGTGCTAATAATGAAGTATTATAAACTGTTAGTAACTAAGTTACTTCATGAACCTTAAAGAAAACCATAAATAACACTGATGGTTCTCACAGCAGTCATTTTGAGCGTCATCCACTGAGAAGCTTGACGGGTTTTTACTACATTTTGATCATGTAGCTGTGTTGATGAATTTGGACAAACTACCACTGGCTTTATGAAATTCAGTCTAGGAATTTTAAGTTTAAATTGCATTTAATCCAGATTAGTAGTTAATATCTATTTGTTACATGTTCTAGGTCTGAAAAATCTGAAAACATCATACATATGTAGCTTGTTTAGAAACCGTTTTACAGTAACAGTATTATGCCATGTTCTGACATGCCTGAGGAAAATGGAACCCGGCTTTCAGGGGAATACAGGAATTATGAAACCATATTGGAAATTTTAACATACTATTGTATTTCAATAAGAAGCCTTGGGAGAAATTTAAGAAAAAAATTACACATTAAACAGCCCAAATTTTAAGAGAATGTTAAGTTTTATTTACTCTAACCACTTAGAATCATTTTAGAAGAGACTGTAAAGATTTATATTTCTGAATGCAGTTTTATGATTCCCTTAAAGAATGTACCTGAACTTCCGGACACTACAGAACATTCTAGAACTGACCTGTCCCGTGATTTAGCAGCACTGCATGAAATCTGTGTGGCCCATTCAGATGAATTGAGAACACTCAGTAATGAGCGTGGTGCACAGCAGGTAGGTTTTTACTGGCCATTCATTAACCAAGCTGTTTCATTAGCACTTACACTGGATGTCAGCTAAGACTGAGATGTAAATTCATAGCTCAGTTCTGATCAGCACTGTATTAGTTATGTTAACGAGTTTTAAGAGTCGGAATCATAATCCAAAAAGATGTAAGCCAAACGTTCTACTGTAGCCAGCACAGTAGCACACACCTCTAATCCCAGCACTCAGAGTGCTGAGGCAGGAAGATTGACAATTTTAAGGCCAGCCTGAACTCCATAGTGAGACCCTGTCTCCAGAAACCGAAAGTAAAAGGCTCAGAGTAGGATGATGTGCCCTGATAAGATGATGGCATTCATACACTTTAACAGCACTTGTAAAAATGACAGGTGAGCTGAATTAGGGCAGTAGTGGTTTTGTCTTTCAGACCCTCCCTCACACATGGAGTGGATAGCCAGAGTGATTCTGAAATCAATATACATGACAGCTATTTGTGAAGTTTTATGGAAATGTGTACTGTAAGCTTCATGTCCACAGATTTCTAACAAGTGCTTGTAGGTGAGGCACACTAGTTGCTATTAGTAAAACTGCTATCCAGAGAAGTAGATAACACACCAGCACGTTATCTGGAGGTCAGCTGAGATATCAGAGATGTAAGAGAATAAAATGAACCATAAGTGGAATGGTCTATTAGCTGGGACAAGATCCACTGACAGGAAGTTACTTGGCAGCAGATTCCTGGGGCACACGGCATCAGTGTCACTGGTGGTTGCAGGAGCAAGTGAAGTGAGTGTTACCACAGCACTGGTCAGCATAAGTCTAGAATCCTAAATTTTTTTCCCAACTTTTATATTAACAGCTTTGCTTATCAGAGTTCCACCCTGGTAAGAAATTTTTATGATTCGTTTAACTCTAGGTTTGTAAGGACAAATCTGTCTTTCAGTAATGTGATCTGTCCTAGAGATGTTTCCTTTAGAGGAAAATGCAAAACACCAGTGAATTTCTGTTCACTTCAGTGTGCAAAAATTCTCTATCTTGGCTACAACCAAAAATACAGTCAGGGTCCGATTAATATCAACTCACAAATTTGAATAGAATGCTAGTATTATTTCATGAATTCCTTTGAAATGGCCTTTTTCCTATCCAAGTTTCCATCCTAGAATTTGAAATCAGGCTTTGATTTATTTACTAACTATTTCCCATTGTATCTCTTTCTGTCTAGCATGTATTGAAAAAACTTCTGGCTATAACAGAACTGCTTCAACAAAAACAAAACCAGTATACAAAAACCAATGATGTCAGGTAGCAGCCCTCGAGGGGCTCTGCCTGAATTCGGCATGCCCAACATGGTAATTGACATCAGTATATCTTCTCTGCTCTTGCCAAAAAATAGCACACCTTTCCACATTCCAGTGATGTGTGAGCTATGCAAAGAAAACCGAAGATCCTGTTGGCAGATCACTGCCAGCACCTCTGTAAGCTGTCAGTGCAAGATGTTTGCACTTCTCCATGTGGAACCTTCACCGAACACTGAGCCTTGGTGTACAGATCACCTTTCATAAAAAATGCTAGGACTGCGTCTTCAACTCTGGAAGTATATTTTCAATACATCCAATTGCCAAAGTTTTGCTATCTCTTGGAAATGGAACTATAAAACCAACTGACAAGAAAAAAGCATTCTCTATGGACAACCAAGGATAACTGGACTGTAGACTGTTCTTACTGTAACACTTTCCTGACTAGGGACATGACCATTTGACTGTTCAATGACTGTATTTACAGTTTCCAGGGTTTGTCATTATAATAGGAACAATCTTTGTTATATACTTTTTTAAAATACTGTGCTATTTCTCATTCTGGAACTGTTGAAAGAAAATATATAGAATGGATCTATTGCTCATCAGCTTTATTTTTTAAACATACCACTTATTTTGTTGGAATTGTCAAAGATTGTATTTAGATCTCAATGCTTTTGTTAAATGTTTACAACAGTAAATAGTTTCAATTCAGTAAATATTATTGGTCATTGTACTGATCAGTGCATGTTACCCTTTCCATCATTTTATAGGTTCCCAATTTCCTTGTGGAAAAAAAACTAGAATGCTTTTTAATTCAAAGTTGATTTTTGTTACCCTTTTGATTATGCAGACCACCTCATCAGCCACTTAATACAACTTTTCCGTCTTTGAACTTCTGACTACTCATATCTGCTGGGCTGGATATTTAGTCGGACTGTATAGTTTTATTTTGCTTCTGTATGTGTATTTTTGTGAAGTATTCACAAGGGTTAAGTTAAAATAAAACCAAGGGACATCTTATATAAGTGATTACTTCTGTCTAAATATTGCCAAGCATTTAATTTCATGATTTTCTTCCTTTTTAGGGGCAGTTCAAACTAGCACCAAAGCAAGACCCAGGGAGATGAACCTTCAGATCATTACTTTCGCTAATGGTCTCTCATTCAATATGTATTTGTTTCACATTTATTTTCTTCTTCCCTATACGTGTGCAGGGGAGGCAAGACCGGGAAAGTATGTCATGAAATATTAGTAATAAAAGTAGGTGAGACAGGAACTAAGTGAAGGTATGAGGATAAGCAATTCCTACAGTTAAAGAAAAATTTTCTAAAGGCCTACAGTTTAAGAGCAAGACTTGATTCTCTAACATTTAAAACATGGGGAAAAAACTGGGGGCAGAATAGCTCTACCACTGAACTCTATATACTCCCAGGGCCTAGTGGTTTAAAATGTAGCTGTGTGCGCTTAGTTTTAAGTTATAAAAGGTAATTATTTGTGTGAAGGCAGCCAGCCTCACTTAGCTTCAATCACACTTCCGCAGTGTTACCTACCCTTCAGCAAACCCAACATACCCTGCAAGCCTCTTCCTTGATCTTAATGCCACTTCACTTTCTCCCTCCTTTCTAAATCGTGTCACTTTGCTTCTCTATTCCTCAATGCTTTTTGGTTAGACAACCATAGTAGTCTCCAGTCTGTCTTCATTTACAGAAGACAGATGGAAGGGATAGGACCTAGTGATATTTCCTAATTTCTTCCTAACAGGAAGAAAGGTCCAAACTAATACTAACCTACCTGCCATTCGTTATAAAACACAAACCTGAAAAACTTACCCTGCTTTTTGTATTTTAACGCTTATCTCTTAAATTGGAGTGGGAACCTGGCTACTTACCTTTTGTAGACCTCTCCCTGAAGTATTGGATGGACAGTGTTGAAATACAATCTCTGAAACCATTTTTTTAATGACGCTGGTTAGGAAAGTGTCAGAGATAAATGTGGACCTTGCCCTGATGCCAAAATTGAGTGGTCTGAAAGGGAAACAGGAGGTAAACTGGAAGCGTTTTACAACTGTCTCCAGCCTAGCGTAATGCTAGGACTACACTGAAGGAACAAACTTTGGTTTCTACTCTACTTTTGTAAAGTTCCACTATCAGTTTTATTTCAGAATAACAAAACCAAAAAACTCAAGCCTAAAACATAAATAATACATTGTTACCATACGTGAAAATTCTCACGACTCCAGTGGGAAGTACGGGCTTGCATGCAGTGAGTCTGAGGTGTGTATTTGCACAATTTAGTTATTTCAGGGGCAGCTGAGTTCTCACAATTTCAAGTCAGTTTTCCAGAAAAAATGTGACCTGAAAGAACACACATCCATGGTTTGCTTCCAGCCATAGCAGCTGATATTTGTTTTGCTATTCAAATGTTAATGTATAAACTGAACACACTGCTCTGATCCACCTACGAAGGGTAGGTGTCATCACTGTCACTTCATGTGAATGTGGGAAACTGGCACACAGGTTTTCTAACTTACCAAGGTCACAGAGCAAAGTAGAAGCAGCTCACATTCATAGCTAAGTAACTTGGTGCCGTATTCTTTGTTTTTCTATTTTTATATCAATTCATTTCAACTTAAATTCCTTGTATATACTTCATTGGTAAAACTCCTAGTAACTGCAACACTATTTATATGAATTCACTTACAAGTAATAATAGGTTAATTTTAAAACAATATATAATTAGATTATATCAATTTAAGATTTTTATCTAGAAAACTCACGATTATACATCTAAATTTTTTCAATTTGGAAATTCTTTCTAGTAACTAATTGAGAGGAAAAAAAAAAAAAAAATCAGTACCCAGAAAGACTACCTTTCAGTCCCAGGCAGTTCAGCAATAATGCACAAATGACTAAGCACACATGAGGGAACATTTGAAATGCCAGTTAGGAAGGCTTCTGTGGAACAAAACACATTTCCTTGGCAATTTCATCGTGGGTAGATCAAGTCGGTACCATTTTGGCTTCTGAAGATGTTCTATTTTACATAAAGCTATCACGAAAGGATACAAGTGAAATAACAGAAAAGTTTAATATATTAGTGTTTTTAAAGTTAAATGCCAGATACATTTTCTCCTGCTGGTTAGTTAAAACTGACATAACAATAAACATTTAGAGAGAGTCTACGAGGTCGTCATCAGTCCATTCTTCCTAAGAAGGAAAAAAACATGTGGTTAGGATAACACACTGATGCATGACCAGTGTAATTTACCTCTGCCCCCTTCAAGAAAACATTCTCCCTTCACTTATGCTGATGATAGAACTAAATAAACCAGAAAACTGTAGCACACTGCTCTTCCACTCTTTTGGCGTGGTCTTGCCACACACCAGTGAGCTTAGCTAAAGATTACAGCTGTGACTTTCTGCCTCTGATTATTTTTTTACCTGAATGGCCAAGTACAATTTTAAGGGGACAAAGGAGGAATCCTTGGCAAATGCATGTAAAACAAAAATTAAGCACATGTATACATCCTTGCTGCATGGATTCATCAGGTAACTCTTACACTGCCTCACAACAGGCTAAAATAGAAGAAAAATCCCTATAATAAAGGGCAACGTACATAAAGACATATGCAAAACTAGGAAGAGTAAAAAAGTCCAAACTTCTATCATGCTCTGTTAAATAAATCTTAATAGAATGTAAATGATGTCAACGTCCCCTTTGGAGTTCACATACCTCTTCATGTTTGGATTTCTTTGATACATAGTCATCATCTTCATAGCCTTTCCTTTTCTTTCTGTAATTAAGTAACTATCAGTAAGCAATCTGGTACTGACAACCAAAACTATAAAATAAGGAATAAACTAGCCTCTGAATATCTACTGAAGGACAGGGCTTGGAAAGACATGAAGAGTTACGGATATCAAGACAGTACTTGTTAAATTAGTGCTGAACTTCAATGCAATTCCAATTAAAAATCCCAATAAACCTTTTCTTGGAACTTATCAAGCCAAGCTCTGACAGGGGAAGAGAACAGGAAAAAGCAGCAAAGACAATCTGCAAGAAGACAATGCTGAAGGTCCTCATCTCAGTTCTAAAAGTACACTTAAAAGCTATGGTCATGAAGTGCATAGTATTAATTATACATCAATCTTTAAAATGACTAGAAAAATTTAGTCTATGATTAAAAAAAAAAAGAGTAATTCAAATAACTGAAAAAAAAAAAAAAAGATTCCAAAAGGCTGGAACAAAATGAGTATTTGAAAAAAAATTACCACAAACAATTCTTAAGTAGTTTTAAAAGCTAAACAAAAGGTAAAATAAAAGTTAAAAATTTTACATGTAAAAACTGGAAAGAGCTGTATTGAAGATGAGTATATAAAATTTATGAAGAACAAGAAAATAATGCCCCAAAACTGGGCAAGCATCATAAACAGCCAATATGGAAAAAATATAAACGATCTTTATCCACAGGGACATCGACGGCTCACAGTAATCAGAGAAATACAAATTAAAATACTACTGCGATACCATTTTTTCATCCCGACTGGCAAAGGCTAAAGGTTACTAACAAAAAGTGTTGTGCCACATATGAAGACAGCCATGCAAAGAAAAACCAGCAGTGTTATACACACACACACTCAGAGCTGCAGAAGCACCAAATAAAAGTAACTTCTGAGGTTGTGACTTAGGTTTGGGTTTGGTCAAAGGGAATTTTGGTTTTACCCATATTGATTGACTTACTGACAGTACAGTTCTTGTGTGATGAAAAATAAAGGTAAAAGAATTTTAAAGGTCAAGGAAAACAAGTATTTTGTCTTACAGTATTGCTACTCAGTGTGGTCCATAAGTTCATAGTAGTCCAAAAATTGTATATGTAGAAATTTTTACAGCAATTTGACAGAATTTTTGACTATTCAATTTAATAAAATTTCAACTTACAGTTTCATGTCTTAACTTCACTTTTCTAGTAAATTATTTTTCTCTATTTTTACTAAAATGTATGTCTGTAATGAATTCTTTTTAAGTTTTCACAGTTTGAAAAGCACTCCTCGGGGCTGGGGATTTAGCTCAGCGGCAAAAGTGCCTGCCTGGCAAGAACAAGGTCGTGAGTTCGGTTCCCCGTACCGGAGAAAAACCAAAAAAAAAAAAAAAAAAAAGAAAAGCACTCCTCAAGTCCACAGATTTGCAGGACTTGCTCAGCACAGTACAAAGCAAATGGTAACTAGGAATAAAACAAACTCTGAGTGAGGTATGCCTCATAATCTCTCAACTATGGGAAGCTGAGGCAGGAGGACTGAAGGTTTAAATTCAGCCTGGGCAACTTGAAACCTTTTCTCAAAATAAAAAATTAAAAAAAAAAAAAAGACTGGTGATGGAGCTCAGTGGAAAGGCCCTGGGTTCATCCCCAGTACCTCCAAGACAAAATAAAAAATAAACTGGCAGTTAGAAATTTGGGGTTAGGGTCCATTTACTTACCTAGCTAGAAGAGTAGGGTTATAACTGTTCAGTGTTCTAATCTAGGGGCTAGGATAAACTTAATCTAGGATAAACTTAATCTAGGATAAACTTAATCTAGGATAAACTTAATCTAGGATAAACTTTAGAGGGCTGAAAGTACATATTTTAGGTCTTTCAGGCCACAATACTTTTGCCACACTCAACTCTTCTGCCATACCATGAAAATAGCTACAGTAATACATAAACTAAAGTTTATACTATGTTCCAGTAAAAGTCTTTTGAAACTACAGGGTCAGATTTAGCCTGTGGACCACAACTGGCTAATGTCTGGCCTAAGCCTATCTCAAAAATCAGTGTGAAAATATGAGTGCTATAATACTCTGATTCATTAAAGTCAACATCTTCTCTACAACCTTCTAATATTCCTGTTACTACTGAAACAGGAATGAAATTTTAAGTTCTGTGAATTTCAAGTTCTATGCCATCCTTTGAAGTTACAGCTATGACTGTAATAAAAGTCCTGTATTTTCCACATTTCATATATCCCTGGAATCCTTCACTACATCTGTATAAGGGTCTGAGTCAGGCACCTGTTCTAAAGACCTTGGACTGCTCTTACGGCTTCGCATACATATCTGTTAGCATACATTCACCAATTATAAAGATGAGAGTATCTCTAATGCATTTTAACTACAAGTTGCCATAGCTAACTCCCATTAAATTTTAACGAACTTGCAAATCAGAATGCAGTCCATAGAAAGTGCCTTAGTGAATATTCCTATCACCTACCCAAGCCTCTAACTGCCTGAACTCCTAAAATGTTATGGATTCTTTATGCAAAGCAGAAAGTGCAAATTTTACGGTGAGTTCCACACTGGCCAACAAATGAAGAGAGGTGCCCATGGCTGCAAAAAGAGAGTGAACAGCTCATTTTCCGTTCTATTTTCAATGTAAAGCTTCTTACTGAAAGAAAACATGCCAAATTTTCCTACACTAGCTAACAGTGTACTTGTTCCCTGGACCAATTAAAAGACTTACAAAAAGACCAAAAATCGAAAGGACAGGCAAAAGTTCACAGATCCCCTAGGAAGACACTGACCCCGAAATCCCACAGGAATAGAAAGGGCATGATCTGCAAGCCCAAGAACACCAGTGACAGATGAGATCTATACCGTGACCAAACTACTTACTATGCTGCATATAATCGCATTAGAAAAGTACACTCAATTAAAAAATCTGACTAAAGAGGGATCAGTTTTCCCCAGATGAACAAATTTATACCAATGAAATGATTTACTACTATGGAGGCCAGGAGACTACCAACTATTCACGAGTAACTGTCCCATCTACTTACGTAACCACATTAAGTGCAAGCTCAGCGGAGTGACATCGCTCCAGCTTTTGTTTCAGAGTAGCAATTTCTTCAGGTCTTGGGGGCTCATACTTTTTTACTAAGTTTCTCATGCCTGTGTGGAGATAAAAAAGGTTCACACTGAATAATAAACATCCTGTTCTCAGTAAAGGCAGCCAAATAATAATCTCTGATCTTGTTACAGAAAACAAAAAATACTCTTAAAATGACATGATTGTTCTTAGCAGGGTGTGTATCATTCTGGATTTAAATCGAAGAAGCAACATGCATTCACACTGAAGTAATTATGGCTGTCTGTCTATCCCATATCACATACAGCATAGAGATAAGCACGCCGTATCATCCAGTCAGCATTCTCTTTTTGTAAACACTGACATTTTTTATTTTTTTTTCTTTCTAGGTTCAATCCCTAGTACCTTCACACTAAGCTCCATCCCCAGCCTGTGATAGTCCCTGCACAGTTTGACACAGTCTAAATTGCCCAGGCTGGCTCTGAATTTGCAATTCTCTCACCTCAGCCTCCTCAACTGCTAAGATTCCAGGTGTCTGCCATTCTACCTGACAGTTTTTTAAAATAACCCCTGTATGATTTACCAAGCATACTTTATTCCTTTATTCTCTCCTAACTGTATACATAACATTCTACCCAACAGACTGTGGGCCAAGAGTGTACTTATTGTATTGAACAGAAACTGCTACGTGCTATATAAACGTAATAAAAAGGGGTGGTTAGTACAGGAAAAACATGTCCGTGAGTCTCTGGTTCAACGAAGTGTAGATTCTATACAAAAATATTCTCCTTTAGGTTAAAAGGAAGCTACTATACCAGTAACTTTATAATTACAAAAAAGCTTTTTAGCTGATCATGTCATGCAACTACCATAAACCAAAGAATACAGTCTCAAGATTTTTAGGGGAGTGATGCAAGATCTAGGACTTGTTAGCAGCCATGTGCTGGCTAACTATATTACATAATACAAATAAAGGTAACTATATTCATAATACAAATAAAGCAATGTTTTCAACTGAATTAGTTCTTGAGACTTAATATCCTTAGGACAATATCTGTGGTCCACAAAATTATGAATACAGTATCTTAATATTACTAAACCTCTGAGTATTTTACCAAGAGCTATTATTATTTCATATTAAAAATAAGTGGAGCAAATAAAATACTGAGAAATCAGCAATAAAACTATAAGCTTTAAGTAAATTGTCTTTAAGTCTCCTTTTAGCTACCAAATAGTGTGATGTAGTCTAGCATCCAGGGCCAAACTACAATTAGCTTTGACAGTGAACCCTCTAGTGGTGAAAATGAAGCCCTACAGTTCACATCTCAACTGACTCCATCATTTTTAAAGAGGGGAGGAAGCCCTCAGGACTGCCTGGAGTAGAGAGTCAGGAAATTAAACCTGTATGCTCTAAAACACCTTAACTTTAAAAATCACACCTGCTAACTTTCATCCAAAATTAAGCTCTTCACTCTTTCACTGGTTTATCCAATACTTGAGTAAATTACAAGCAAAATAATAACAGGCACAAAAAGGTTTGGGAACGAACACAACTGACTCAATTGTAGCAGCCCAGCAGCCATAAGCATTCATTCAGTGTGCCAAGGGTAACAATTAACAATGGTGACAAGGCTGCCTAACAGCTGCTCAGCTAGGCACTGATCCCATTTAGTCTTTAAGACAGTTTCACACACCAGCACTATGGCATTTCGATCTGGACATTCTTTGTTGCAAAGGGTTTTATAGTATTAATTTGCTGAGGCTGCTATTTTCACAAACTTGGTATTTTAAAACAATCAAAATGCCTTCTCTCGGTTGTAGAGCCCAGGAGTTCCAAATCAGTTTCACTGGGCCAAACTCGACGTGTTGGCAGGCCACACTGGAGAATCCATTTCTCATCTGTTCTAGCTTCCAGTGGCTGCCCGCATACTCTGGCTCATGGCCACATCATTCTAACTTTCAAGGCCAGCATCTTCAAATGTCACTGCCTTGCACAGAGGCTATCCTTTGTACAATGTGCAACAGCATTTGTCTCTCCACCTGCTAAACACTGGTAGCAATGATCACCATTCTAAACTGTGATGGCCAAAAATGTCTCTGAACTGAAAATCACCCATATGAGATGAAGTCTTTAGGGTTACCAATTAATGTAACAAGCAACTGACACATATTAACTAGTTAAAACTGATGTATCTACAAAACAGAAGTTCAAATTTAAACATCATTTCTAAGTCCCCTCAGATGGACTTCCATACCTATTGCATATTTGTGTATACTTTAAAAGGATTTTGGTGTAACTCATTAAACTCTCAAAATCTGATTTTCACTCTGACATATGTGGGGAGACTACTTCCCTCCATGTGCTTTATTTTTGGTCTCAATTTATCTTTGATGCCTCTGTGAAGTACAGATAGTCCTCATTTAACGGCCTACTTCTTTACTGTTGGGACTTACAGCCATCTGTTGTTTTTTTGTACAGTCCTGCATATCCTGTTTACAGAGCCTCTTTGTCTCTTCTTTGCACAGTACACCTCGTTTACACAGTGCTGTAATTTTTGCGGATTATTGTACAGTGCAGTACTGTAGTTTTATGTTGTTATACACTACAGTATAGCACTGTATATAAGAGTTAGGGAAATAAAAGCAAAGTCATCAGGTGGAGGTTTCTTTGACCATTTCTTTGTTCTGAACACTGTAATGTACATATGATATACAATTCCTCATTTAGTGACCAATACATTTAACTACCTGGTCGCCAGAATGGCATCTTAAGCAAGAAATATTTAATAACGAAAGTCGTAAACAACCCTACTTTATCACAAGTTAAATATCAAGACATTTTCTTCGGAAAACAGCTTTGTACAGTATTCTGTTTTACTCACTTTTCATTATATCTAGTAACTGTGACAAGCAAGTTCTACTTTCTCGCAGCATTAGACTCTCCGATAAATAACTGATAAAGAAAGGAAAATAACTTTAACCTCTTGAAGCATGCAGAAATGAGAAACATGACATCATAAACTGTTTGCCTCAATGTTCATTTCAGGGGCAATTTAACAATTATTAAGACAGTATTACATAATATTTAAAACTCTGTAAAAGTATAACCTACAACTGTGATAGCCTTAAGGGTTTACAAGAACTTTTCTTACCTACAAGTCAAGACCTTGTACTTGTCCGAAACCATAAAACTTGAAAGGCACAGCACCCATAAGATTCTCACTCCCATTAATACCAAGCTCATGTTAGTTACTGTTATACTTCCAGGGGATGAAGGAGGGGTGTTAAACCAACAAGAAAATCACTCCATGCTTTATAAATACATTACATATATCTGCATCAAGGCCAAAGGAAAGGCATTTTTTTTCCATCAATGGGATAGAAAGCCTTTTTTTTCAAGAACTCGTAATAACAGCGTGAAAATAAATTACTAAGTGTAAGTTTTTAGCTAAAGTTTTAAATATCCAGACTTGATCTATAGTTGATAAAGGCCCAAGTGAACAGATCTTTCAAACATAAATACAAAAAAGTACTAATTTTCCTCGTAGTAAAATGAAGTTACCAAACTGGAAAGCAATCCTTTAAGAACTGTTGTATCTTTTACACTATCCAGGTTACTTCAACTTGATTACAAGGTTTCAATGATTAAATATGATGTAACACCTGCATTGCCCATTGTGGGAGTTAATTTTGAATATGGGAATCAACAACTTGACAATATTTCTGCTCGTAATTAAAAATAACTATATTAGTTTCTTCCTTTCCCTTCTTCCCTGAAACTCCACACTTGTGTCACCCTTTCTTTGGTTTGTTTTCAGTCTTCCTTTTCTTTCAATTTCTTAAGTACAAGACCAGTATATTTGGTTCTAAGGGTTGGATGGGCATTGCTTCACCTCTTTGAAACTTAAGTTAATTCAATCTCAACTCTGAGAAAGACATTTTTCAATTTTGAGGTTTAAAATATTCACAGGCAATTGAGAATGTTTAAAGAATCAAACTAACATCTAAGAAATAACTACATACCCACATCAGAAAGAGAACCCAGAAAAACCAGAATCTTATGAGTAATAATTTCAGAAATCAATAATAAACGTACATTCAACTTTTATGTTATCTCAAAATATAGTTTGCCTATAAATCAATCTTAAGTTAATAATTGGAGAGCATTTTCCTAAAAGAGAAAAAATGCTCAAATGACTACAGTGCCTGGAAGTGCTATAAAAGTCAACTTAATTTGCAGTGAGACTAAGGTACCACAATTTCAATTTTTCCTATCCAGAATTATAACTGAACTCGTAAAATGAAGTAAACTCTAACCTGGACCTTACAATGCTTCATCGTACTCAACTCAAATCTCACCAGAGAGAATCTGCAATACACAATGCATAAAGGCTTTAACAGATTAATGAAACCTGGTGGTACTAACTGTAGAACACATAGCTTTTTCCCTTTTACACAATGAAAGCTCTGCACCCAAACTCTATAGATATCAAATATTTATGTGGCTATCTGTTCTAAGTAGGGCAGGGATTTATATCTTGTTGATTCTCATAAGCCTAAAATGCAGCATAGTACGTAGAAAGCGTTAGGTAAACACAGTAGAAGTTACTAATGTATTTACATACAGGTGGTGAGCTGTGTCTGCGGAAAAGATACATACCATAAACCACAGTCCTTTTTCTCAGATGCAAATGTTTTGAAATTCATAATTCTTTATGTCTAGGAAAAGGACCCTGGTATCTACACTATGACAAGTGAAATACTCCAGTGATGTCTCAGGGAGTATCCTGCAATTAGGAATATTAATTCTTCTGCAAGGAAATAATACCTCTATTAAATTTGGTAAAATTAAATCAATCTGTTCATTTTTGCTGGCACCTTATCAATGGATTCTGAAATTACAAGAAGTCATAAAAAGAGCAACTAAATATAAAAAGTAAAAAACAGACCTAATCTGGCAAGCAACCCGAGTACAGCAAATATATATGCTTTGTACTATCATCATCCCCCCCCCATGAAACATTACATCCATGGTACTGTTACATCCATTATGGGCATATGAAAAGGTACGTTTAGTAATTTATAGAACTGAATTAATCTGGGCGGAAGACAGCATTCTAAGCATCCATGGATCTAATCTGTGTAAAGAGCCTACTTCTCGGTGCACATTTACATACTAGCCATTGCCATGTATGGTTTGATTACTACTGATCTGGGGACATCCCCTCCAGCAGTAACCTTTCCACAGATCTTCCCCAAATTCCATGTGTCACACACGCTCCACAGCAGAATAAGGCAATGCAAACACATATACTCACATTGCTTACCCACTGATGAACTTGTGAATCTGCCACATACTCATAGCGACAGTTTCCCCAGAATCAACTGTTTTACCTCACTTTAGTCATAAATGTACTCCCTTAGCTCTACATTACTTTCCTTAATTTTTTTGTTTTGTTTTGTTTTGTTTTTCTTCCGGTATTAGGAATCGAACTCACAACCTTGCGCTTGCCAGGCAGGCGCTGTGCCGCTGAGCTAAATCCCCAGCCCTCACTTTCCTTAATTTTTAAAGATTTCCCTACAACCTGATTTCATTTCTTTCATCACCACCCTTCTCAGCCACAAGGGACAAACACAGGAATACAGTCACAAATGAACCTTACTTAAAAACTCATACTCCATTAGGAAGTACACTGAGTGACTGAATCTGACCTAAGGTGAAACACAAATTAATACCTTTCCATAGTAATTCCAGCCCTGGAGGCACTAGATAAAATGGCAGTCAAGGCAATTTGGGAAGGTGTGTATAAAAGATAAGCATCCGTCAACGCAATTCTATTAAGAAAGTCATCTGCTGTTTTCCTCAAAACCTCCGGATTCTCCAGCATGGGATAGCGGGTCTAGAAAAAAACGTTAGCAGATGTTATCATTTCTGAGCGTTTAGTGGAGTATGAACAGTTCAAACATATTTACATTACCCAGAAAGTGCTTAACACAGAATCCTTTATGAAAGTAATTCCTTTCCTATAGCCAACAAAAAATACATTGAAATCTTAATAGAACTGTTTTGTAGAAAATAGCAAAATTTTCACCACTTAATTGTTTAATCTTGTCTTCTCTATATTAATTTCTCTTTAATTCAGTAGCTTTCAAAATTGTTTGGACATAAGCACAATAAAACATGCAAGCTTTAAGCTAACATCAACTGTTCCCAGCACAGGAGTACCTGAGGGCATTCTCAATCTATGCAAATCCCTTCTCTTTGTCTTTTCCACCCGACACGGAGGGAAGGAAGGGGAGGTTCCAAGAGATTCCACTGTGTTTAAGGGGATCTAAGAAACTCCCAGAAAGACCTCCCTGGCAATCCAGATGATTCAGAATTAAGGCGACTTGTAGGACCCATGGTACCACCTCATTTTGGTATGAAATTCATTCTAAAGTTTATTTTTGTGAAGAAGTAAATGGAAAGGAATCTTGAACCTACCGGACGTCCCTAAATAACTAAATTTTCAAAATATGCCCAAGAATATGGAAGATCACATATTTCCTGGTAACTTTTCACTTTCGAACAAAACACCTTAGTCAACTGCATAGTCACGCTCAGGCTTGTCATTATCCCAAGACAGTTGACTGCTATGACAAACTCAGTCCCTTCACTTGGACTGGCAACGTGCTTGTTCCGGCGCATGCACGCCTCTGCCTCCTCAGAATCTCCGCTCACTCAGTCCCCACGCCACTGCCACGCACCAGCGTCCTCTTGTGCTCATTTCCCTCCTGAGTTCATCCCCTGCTCGAACAGGCTGCCAACACATCTGGTTAAAGTTTTAACAGGGTTCGAGTCCAAGCACCTTTCTCCTTTGCAACGATACCCAGATTTCTGTACAGCGAGAGGTTTGGAACATTACCAATTCCTGTTCTCTGACTTCACTCTGTTTCTTAACACTGCCTATCAATGATGAGGTTTCCAAAGAAAATCTGTTCTCCCTTTTCATGATGGCAAACACTGTTGCCCGTCTTAGTGTCTTTGATGCTTCTCAGAAAATTACAAGGGAGCTGAAACATTCTGATCATTTAGTGAGGTCCTAGTCATAACCAAGTCCTAGTATAAAGCATTACCCAGATATTCATGGTGATACTGGTGCTCAAAGCTATCCTAGTACCAGTCTGTATAAAAGCACAGTACAGAGACTTATGTGCAGTACAGAATACTTGATGATGACAATACAGAACTGTTAGTGGTTTCTACTTTTTAATCCTTAGAGTACACTCTTGGTTATAAAGAGAAAAGTCATAAAAGAGCCTGAGGCGGCTCCTTCAGGAGGTGTTCAGGCCTTGTTATTAAAGATGACAGTCATATACATGGTACTGCTCCTGAAGATGGGACAAGGTGCGGAGGTGGACAGAAGATGATACTGATGATCCACCCCCCTTCACAGAGCTAGATTAGTATTTTTTAATTTTTAGTAAGAAATTTTCTAAAAAGTTAAATTTGAGCTAGGTGTGCTGGCACACACCTACAACGTCTGGAGGCTAAGGCAAGAGGATCACAAGTTTGAGCCCTGCCTGAGAAACATGGTATGTTAAGAGAAATCGTGCTGGAAAATTATAAAAGGGCTGAGGATATAACTCACTGCAACCCCTGGGTTCAATCCACAGTAACACACACACACACACACACACACACACACACACACACACCCCCATGTAGCCTAGAGCCTGGCTGTATCATCTATGGCTGTATCTTGTACGTTTAAGTATACTCTATGATATTCACACAAATGATGAAATCACCTAATGAGTTCCTCAGGACATATCCAGTCATTAAGCAAGGACCTTTTCATGACCATACTTATTTCCTCCTTTCCAATCTGGTACATTAATTTCAACAAAATCACAAATGACCTTTCTGGCACTAAATCCAGCAACTATTATTAGTCTATTTTCACCACTTGAACTCTGAGCTGGGCGAGGCAGTTGTGCTCACCTCCTAAAAATACCTTACTTCACTCCTCTAACAATTCCTGTCTCTGGGTACTCTTCAGTCTTCAGACTTCTTAGTAGCTTACTTTTCCTTTACCCTTTAAATGTTCTCAGCCAATACACTGGAAACTCTTTTGAGCAAAGGTAATTCAAGTGTATGCCTCAAGCTGTGCACGTCCTCTGACCTCCAGAGGTAAGCTTCCCATTGGATGTCTTGCACACAATCCTTGATCTACCGTATCCTGAACAAATCTTCACCCTTCCATCATCAGTAATTCTCATGCAGTCAGTGCTGTATTATCTACATGTATCCCAAGTCAGAAATTCAGGGATTTCTCCTGTCCGCAGCCTACAGCTGCAATCACGCTGCAAGTTCTACCAATTCTACCCACTCTCTATAAAGCCCAGGAAGCATCTCTCTTTGCTGCTCCTGAGTCAAGCCCAACACCATGATTTTTGGCCTACTCCAAAAGTGTCTTGATTCCTTCACGCATTTTAAGCCATTTTTCATAATATTCAAGATACATACAGATGTGCAACAAATAATCTGACACAGGAGGTCATCAACAGGACTTTTCCAAGCTGTAAACCCTGTCAAAAGCCTTTTAATGGCTTCTGTCCTCTAATAATATCTCTGACACTGCCTCAGTCTCTTCTTTCTGCTCAGGCAGAAATACTGGGATACACTCTTCCTCCTGTATCACTAGGTCCTATTCAGTTCTTAACACACCATGAACCTGAGCATTTGATGAGGAAGGCCTCTCCCTTTCTCTCTCTCTCTGGACACTCTTTCTTCACCTAACTGCTATTCTTACTTTGAACTTTACTTTAAATGGTGTTTTCTCAGAAATGTCTTCCTTATGGTTCAATCTGCTCTTTCTACATTATTTTGTATTCCTCCTCTGTAATATTTAGCACACTAAGTACATGGTGACTGACTGAACTATTAGTCTACAAGGTCCGTGAAAGCAGAAAATGCTCCTGTCTTGCTTCAGCTTGTATCTTCAAGCACACTGTCTGGCATACACCAAACTGCACTGCTCAAGTGAAATGAATAAGCCACTTTCTGACTACAATTTGACTCTGCAAAAGGCTATCCAACAACTTGCATTCTTTTTCTAAGTATTTATTTATACTTTTGAGTCTTATATTTGTGGCTCATGTTCACAAAGCCTTAAAAATACTGCCTATCAGGCCCAGATCCAAGATAAAACATGGAGTTAAGAGTTACAGTAAGTCCTTAAAAGCATTCTCTAAATTCACAATGGCCTTTGTTATACCTGGCCAGGATCTGCAGATCTCTGAATCAGAAACTGTTCATTTAGTACCCAACCACCTGAGTTTAAGCTCTCCAGGTGACTCAGACGCACAGTAAAATGTGAAAATTATTACCGACATGGCCTATCAGACTCAAGAGTTGCAGCGATTTTCTAACAATTTAGGATGTTTATAGGTTTCAAAGTTCTGATTTCTTTCAAACAACAACAGCAAGAAACTCACACAACAGCTCACTTCATGTCATTAAGTTTACCTTTATATCAATGAGGAAGCCCTCAAACGGTCTATAAGGGTTGTGCACAATAAGGTGAAAATTAAGCTGTTGTATAAGGAGTAGTTCGTATTCCAAAATCTGTTCCAGTGCCTTCTCCTGTCCAAGGGGACTCTCGCGAAGGTTTCCAACAAACTGAGGACTAGACACGTTGAATTCATCTACTTTGCAGGCCAGAAATGCACAAGTAAGCCTAGAGGAAAAGATAAGGCACTAGAGAAGGTCAGGCACATACTTTGAAGTGTGCATTTTATTTCTAAAAGTACTTTCTAAAACTGCCTAATATTCATAAGTGCCTACACTAGATATTGTATACAATTTTTTTTAAAAAAAGGTTCATTCATCTTCCTGTCTTTATTCATTAGGAGACAGAAGATAAACTATGATCTAGTATTGCCAGTGTTCAACCCTCACTCAATGGCAATTTGATATGGTTCGACCTAAAAATCTGGAAAAAACAAAGTGACTGAGCAATAAAAGTAGTTTGCATCATGAAATGTAGATGGAAGAGTTAAAAACAGAACAGTACACACGTGTACCATATGCCCGTGGAGAAAAAGCAGGTTCGAAGAATCCTGCAGCAGGCCGTCAGGGGAAGTCTCTGAAGCCAACTGAGTAAGGGATTAGATCAGGGACAAACTTATGAAACATACCTGACTACTACATGCAGTTTAGAGCAAAAAACTAGTAAGAAAGCTACATAAGACAGCTTTTACACGTTGGCGTACAGAGCCTCAGTTTGACTGATACGAATGAGAGTGAAAAAGAAAAACAGAATAACGTGATTGACAGTTTCCTCGTGAGTCTCACACTAATTTTATCTTTACCAGTAAGCTTAATGTTTAGCAGGGAGCAGAAACAAATTCAACTGAAATGATTATGCACCTATAGGATCTGAAAATTGTGCAGATATGGAAAGAAGTCACCACATACAATTCCCAGCCCAAGCAACCGTGAGAACAGAGGTGTCACTAACAGAAAGCAGTATTTACGGCAACAGCTGGGTTGTAAAAACAATTTGAATGTAGACAAGTTTAAGTTCAGATGTCATCAGTATTAGGATTGTAAAAACAATTTGAATGTAGACAAGTTTAAGTTCAGATGTCATCAGTATTACAGGAGATAAAGGTAAATAGGAAATTTTAAGTACTGAATAGAAAAGAGGAATATAAACCTAATCTGCCCTTGATTAGGAAGTCAGTTCTCTTTCACATGTAACACACACATTGCACAAAGAGCCACAGAGTAGAAAAGTCTTCTTTAATGAAAACAATACATTAGACAAACTTATACTCACATTATTATCCGGGGGTGATATTCCATTACAGAATTATTAAGATAAAAACGCTTGAAATACATACAAGCTGTACCCTAAAGTTAAAAAAATGTAAGTTATCAGGATCTATTTGCACATGTTACAAGTTAAATGCTGTGAAAAGGAACTCATTTATGCAAAGGTTTCTTTGAAAAGGTCCTTCATACAAATACCAATACATAACTCCAAACATGTACCGAGTGTACCGTGGGTCATGCCTGGAAAAGTACTTGTCTATGTCCTGGCCCCTGCTCATTAGAAGGAAGGAAAATAATCTCATTTTTTCCTTTCTCTATAATGCTTATGTCACAGCACAGACCTCCATTTTGTTTCTGAGTACAAAATGAGATTTTTAAATACTTTGTAAGATTTAACAACTCATGATTTCAGGACTTTATTGAAAAACACACAACAAAAACTAAACAAATAGAACTAAGGTGAATTTTGTAGACAAGTGGATAGGAAATTTAGTAACTTACAAGAGGTCAGATTTCACAGGCCACCTAGACATTATACATCACCACTACTGTTAACTTACCACAACAGACCGTGGCATTGCCGGCTTAAACACGGAACAGAATTCCAATAACCTTTTCTCATAGTATTTACACAGAGTCAGTTCTTCATGAGGTTCAAGGAAGACTGGATCATTTGGAAGAACCTTTAAAGAAAATTGTGACATAAGTTTAGTGAATTAATTATAAAACTGTCTTCTCGATCCTGATTTTATAACCACAGCAAAGCAAAATATACCATGACTAATTTTCTCTTTAAATTCTTTTTTCTTTTTTTTTTTGAGACAGGGTCACAAACAGGGTCTGTGTACACCACCAGGCTAGCCTCAAAATCACAACGACCCTCCTTCCTCAGCCTCCAGAATGCTGGGGTTACAGGTGTGCACCACCACCTCCAGGCCCAGCCACGAGTTTCTCCTTTAATAGATGTGCTAAGCATTATACAAAACAGTTTTGGGAAAATATTTAATACGCTAAAACTACCATCATTTCAGTGTCTCAGAAAGTCAGCTGAGCATTTGCTTCACTGAAGTGAAATGAAAACAGAATGTGCACATGCTCTCAGGGTTAGTCATTCTTCGTAAACTTAAAAAGAAGACACATTTTCAAGGGTGGGAAAACCTCCACCATCCCTTTCTCAAAAACCGTGTTACAAAAATTTGAGGTAAAGAACAGCAGTAAGCAGCGGCAGTAAATCAATGTTATTTTAAGCTATTCATACTTTTGGTGATTTAAAAGCAGTCCTAGGAAACTAACCCTGGTGTTAAATTCAGTGATAGGAAATCGATGTACAAGTAAAACCAGCTCAGTACCCACAGGCTTGCAGGCACTGAGCACAGTACCTAAGTGAAGCAAATGCTAGAAAGCGTGGCAGTGCTGGCAGTAACGATTAAACCAGGCCGGGCGCTGTGAAAGGGGCCGGGCTAGCAGGCAACCGTCACACCATGTCCAGCCACCGTGTTGGTAACAAGGGTTTCCGGCCCCCTCCCGCGTCCAACCCACTCACCGCCGCCGCCCCGGGGCCTCTTCTCGAACCGGGATCGGATGAGGGTCACTCCCTCGCAAATCTTTCAAAAGTCCCCCCGGTTTCGGCGGAAATGCAAACTGCTGTACTTCTGCTGTTATGCTCCTCGCCGCCCTCCCCATCCGCTCCGCCCAGGTTCTCAGCTTCGGCCGCAAGTGACCGCGCGCGACTCCGCGCCCGAGCCCTGCGCCTCGATTCCCACTCTGCACCCGGGGCTCCGTCTGTCAGCAACGTCCCGTCCTAACCTCCTCCGGATCAGCTACCCTTTCACGAAAGCCTGTCCAGGCCAACCCTCTCGGCCACGTGAAAGGCTCCTGCCACGCGCTCCCTCGGCACCCCACAATCCCCTCCTCCCCATCTTAGAGAGACTTCACCGTGCTGGCGCACGCCTGTAATCCCAGCACTCGGGAGGCTGAGGCAGGAGGATCGCCGCGAGTTCGAGACCAGCCTGGGCTGCAAAGTGAGCTACAGGCCACCTGAACTGCACGGCGGGACCCTGTCTAAAAATGCAAACAAACAAAAAGACGTGATCGGCCTGCTGCACAACACGACGGGGCCTTCGTTCTCCCTCCGTGTCTCCACGGCCCGGCCGGGGCTCGCCCCTGACCGCGTCCGCGGGAGGCCGCCGCACGGAGCGAGGCTGCGCCCGGCCTGAAGCGCGCGCGCCTGCGCGTCCGGGCGGCGCGGCCCTCACCTTCCCGTTCGCCACCGCTTTGCACTTGAATTTGCGATTGGCGTCGGCCCGCAGTCGCGCCAGCTGCTCCTCGTTGGCGAAAGTCCAGTGCCGCTTTTGGCTGCTGTTGTGGTACATAGCGGAACTCGAGACCAGCCCGAAAGCCTCAGCAAAAATCAAAGCAGTAAATTAAGCAACTCCGCGTCGTGCAGCAGAGCCGCGGGCACAACAGTCCTCCGAACGCGCGGGCGCAGGACTGCCGGCGCGGCGCACTGACGTCACGCCCACGTACACGGCCCGTCCGTCCAGGGGCGTTTCCGGGCTCGACTAGGAGAGGTGCGGCGCCTGGGTTCCGCCCCCGCCGCTGGCAACACAGATGGGCGGAGACTACGGACCGGCCTTGGCTTGGGTGTGAGCCTGGGTCCGCGCCCCTTCCAGGCCAGATTTAAAGGGGAAGTGACAGGCGAGGAAGTCCTGACCAAAAGGCGTGTAGTAAGGAGGTGGAGGCGCGCCCCTACATTCCCAGCATTTTGACAGGCTGAGGCAGGAGGGTCCAAGTTTGAATCGTGCCTGAGCGGTTTCTCCAGACCCTATCTCAAAACGTATAAACAAAAAGGGCTGGGGTTGTAGCCCAGTGTGAAGGAGTTCGGGTGCAATCCCCATTACTGAAAAATGATTAAAAAAAAAAAAAATGGAAGGTAGTGAACTGAGGTTTGGAGTAGGCTGACACGGAATCACATGAGGTAAATGGAAGTGGGAAAAGGGCGTGGGAGATCTACGGTGTATAAATAGGGCCTCCCTGCGAAGGTGAGATTGGAGCGAATGTTGGAAACACCTGAGAGTAACAGGCAGCTCAGTCACCTGTACACAGGGCATGGGGCAGATAAAATGGTTAAGGTGCAAGGCAGAAGTATTCCTGGCTCTTTTAAAGAAGAGTCTGGAGCCCCACGAAGTTGGGTGTACCCGTATACCCAGCTCTTCTGGAGACTGAGACAGGAAGATCTCGAATTCCAGGCTAGCTTGCACAATTTAGCAACACCCTATCTCAAAAACAAAACAAACGCACAAAACTTTTTAAAGGGCTGGGAATGTAGCTTGGTGCTCCATAAATGCAATCTGCAGTCCTGAAAAATAATACATAAATAACACTTTGGTGGCCAGGAAGAGTTCTTGGAGGACTACCACAAATCTAGAGGAATAGATGATTGAAAACTAGAACCAGTGGGTGTGCGTAATGTAACCTTGGCCTGTGCTTTTTTCCCTTCGAGCTCTGTTGATAACTTGCCAAGCTCCTCCCATCCCCATTCCAGAGCTAAAGTGTGTGGTACTTGGTTGGTTTTCTTGAGATTTCAATCTCCCTGTTGCCTGTAGAGAATCTTCAATAAGCTCGCTGGAATGCTTAAGAGACTTACTTTTTCTTTTTATTATTAGCACTTTCACAGTTGCATTTGAGATTAAAAAAAATTACATTGATTCCAAAAGTTTTTACTGGTTTTGATGTTTGTGCTTGTGGTAGCTGTTGAGAAAGAAACTTTTCCTTAAAGAAGGAAAATTATCTAAAAATGTTCTAAATGTGTATCAGTTCTAAGTGTGAATGAAAAAGAAAATAAAAATGGTAAGACCTAGAGAATTTAGATATTTAAAGCCTATACAGGTAAAAAGAGGATGACAATTTTGCTTTCTGTGAAAATGTTAGATAAATGAGTGTGTGTGTAAAATCTTAGGGTCATGACATCTGTGTATACTGTGCAGTTTCTTAATTTTGTTTTTATGAAAGTTGTTTTACAATTTCTTATTTTTTTGTAAAGAAAAATAAAAATAGGCATTTAGAGGAGTTGGCAAAACATGATTGCCACAGGGATATGGGTAAGATTGCTGAATGGTGGTTTGCTTAGGAAGCCAAATATGAAAAATCTGACATCACTGGTCTAACTTTTAACAGTCTGTGAAAAATTAACACTGACCATCTTTTTCTTCCCATGTAAATTCACAATCTACATAGCAAGGTTGTTGCTGATGCCCTAGCGTTAAGGGCATCTGTTGCCCATCAGTTGAGGGTTCTTTGGCTCAGTTCAGATGGGAATCATGAACTGACAAGGTGCAGCTCTGCTAGCAACCCTGATGTCACCATACGACACTGGACAATGCTGGTGACTAACAGTCCACAAAGCTGGCGGCTGGTCACCACCACGCTGGCTGCCACTGACTTATACCAGACTCTATGGGTTGACTCTGTCAGGTGCTGGCCACTGACACTCAGTGCCAGCTTCTGACAAACACTGGTGGGAGACTCTGCCGTGCTGGTCTTTACTGGCGATCCCCACTGCTCTCTGAATCTCTTCAGGGCTAAGAGCCTGTGGTGTTTATTGCTTTTTCTTTTGAGACAATCACTCATCCACAATAGGGAGGACAACCTGAGTAAATCCTCAGGACCTTCGGGTCCACACTGAGAAATAAATCACAAAGCCAGTCTTTATTGTAGCATGGCCTGTACTGCAGCACAGAGGGATCAATACACAGCAGGAGGCCTCCTGCTTAGACTAACCCAAGAGGTGGCCAAGGAGTGCTGCTTATATATCAGCTGTAGGCCTGTGATGGATTCAAGTCCAGAACTGCTGATTAGCCCAGCTGAAGGCCTGTGATTGGTCTAAGAGTACAGGGGTCAGAGTTCTACGATAGTGCAGCTGACATGACAGAGATTCATTGAGGGCCAGGTGACAAGAGCTGTTTGTTTGATTAAAAGCTGTCATGTCTCTGATGAGAAACTGCATAGCTGAAACCAGGGAGTCTTCAGGAAGGCTGGATGTGTCCGTCACCATCACCTAAGGGTTAGAGAGATTGGGGATGTTGATCATGATCTAGGGTCCTTCTCTCCCTGGTCTCAGCTACTTGGGATCCCACCCCCTTTTTCAAAGAGGTGGCAGGAATGGCGAAGAGGCCGAAGCAGGGGACAGGCAGCTCTGCAGCCTGGAGGAGAATGACTGCTGAATGACCACGGAGGACACTGAGGCAAGTTGTCACAGCCCATGGGAGGGGTGGAGGAGGAAGGACGTGAGGGAGGTAGGTACAGAAGCCAAGCCACATCCATTCTGACCAGTAAGGGAGGGCATGGGAGAGCGAGGTGCTCTCCACTGCAAACTAATGAAAAAAATAAATTAGTTAAAACTTCAAAACCAAACAAAACCAGAGAGAGCAAGTGGGATGCTGCATTAGTCATTTGGATGGAATGACATTTTCCTGTTCCTCTGGTTCAACACCAATTTATTTCTTTGCTACTTTCACAGGGAAGGCAGAGTAGGAGCTTAGAAGTTGCTGCCTCTATTTCCATCCAAGTCTAGTTCCAAATAAAAAGCAGCAAGTGTTTCTCTCTACTACTATTGTTTTTATGTATTTTATGGAACATTTCCATTATAAAAGAGGAGAGGTAAACATGTTTTAACAATTACCAATACAAGACCGGTTCCTCTCCGCCCTGCACTCTGCTCCCATGACTTTAAAACATTTTCCTGCTACTACCTGACAATGATTCAAACCAAACACAGATTGCTCTCCCTTGAAAGGTAACAAAGAAATTCACATTGACAGCAAAGATGCGATGACTCCATGCCATGGTACCCAGGAGCAAAATCTTAACAGGAAAGACTTCAGTAGTTTTTCAAAGTCAACACAAATGTGGTTTAAGAACTCTGGTGCACAGTCCTTAAATTATATGCTGCAGTGTTGTTGTAGACAGATGCTGAGTATTTTGACTGCAGACTTTATGCCTCATCCACAGGTTGCAGTCAGAGTTCGAGTTCTGCACGTCAAGCCTTAGCAAGTCAGCCAACAGGAAATGTTTTGTTCCTACCCACCTACTGTTCCCAAGCTTCCCTTGAGAAGATGCTACTAGGAATGCCTCTCTCTTCCTTCAGGACAATTTTCCTCTTCATGCTCTACCCTAGAAATCTGAATGCTTTGGGAAAAGTAAAAGTAAAAAGCTCAGACTGCTTTGAAAAGGGAAATTAGAACGATTGCAGAGAGACCTAGTGGAATCTTGGAATAACTTTTCAGTCAAATAAAATCTTATTCAGTGACTTCATTACTTTTAACTCCATGCTCCTTTAGCATACTTATATCTGTATATTTTCCGATTTCAGGGCCACAAAGAAAAAAGTGGCAAAAATGAGAATAAACCAAATGAATCCTTCTTACTTTAAAATATGACATAAAACTGTACCCCTTCAGCTACTGACTTGAGTTTTTAATATTTTAAATATAGCTTTACAATGAGGATGCAAGGACCATGAAGGTCTTTACAACTCTAACTCTTTGGCTAACACACAATTAGCTTTGGCTTAAAAATCCTTACCTCAGTTTCATCTCCAGTTGTTAAGTTACAGCAAAAAGGGAACAAAGAGGAACCTGCAGCAAATTTCTTTTCTTTTTTTTAATTCGAAGGTTTTGTATTTTTTTAACTAATTAAGTATTGGTACATTTTCGGTATACATAATGATCTCATTCATCACAGGGAATCTGTACTTGTACATGAGATAGCTTATTCCTTTTTTTTCTGTTCCATTCCCCTCCTCTCCCTTCAACCCTAGGTTTCCTCCTTATTTACAAGAGCTTCATTTCCATTTTTTCTTTCTTTTCTTGTTTTTCTTTTCCTTACATTTTCTTCCCCCTTTCCCATCCCTACTCCCCCTTCCCATTTGCACATTTTCTTATTATTTCACAATATTTTGGCCCTTGTTTGCACTTTTGGTTCCTCACACCAGAGAAACCATGATATATAAATCATGATATTAAACCATGTGTTATAAATCAGACACATGTGTCTGATTTATGTCACCTAACAGTATGGTCACAAAGTGCATCCATTTAGCTAGAAATGGCTCAAGCTTATCCTTCCTTGTGGCTGAGTAGCACTCCATTGTATAAAAATATCACAACTTCTTTATCTGTTCATTGGTTGATGGGAATTTGGGCTGTTTCCAAGATTCAGCCATTACAAACTATGCCACAAGAAACATAGGTATGCATATATCAGTGTGGTATGATGCTTTTAATTCTTCAGGAAGATACCAAGAAGGGAAATAACTGGGTCAAATGAGATCTTGAGTTTCAGTTCTTTTTTTTTTTTTTTTGTACCAGGAATCAAACTCAGGACCTTGCGCTTGCCAGGCAGGCGCTTGTGTCGCTGAGCTATATCCCCAGCCCGAGTTTCAGTTCTTTAAGGAATCTCCACACTGATTTCCACAGTGGTTGCAGCAGCCCACTCCTCACAACAGTGGAGAGG